ATGCAGGTAAGTCTGCCATTATAGGAAATTCGTTTTTAGGTCTCGATTTGAAACAAATGTTACAAAGTTGCACTCGTTTACGGACGATATTACGTGCTGAAAGAATCCAGAATTTCTGGCGTAACAGAGACATCAAGAGTTGTGGTCCCGTATGTAAATACTTTCGGTGATAATAATCAATTATTAAATCAACGATATGATCACGTGGTGGCAGCAAAATGGGATGTTGGCTATTGTAATCTAAGTCGGCATTACTCAATCGACCGCCTACACGAAAAATACCGTTGTGTACAAATGCCTTTAATTTTTGAAAGGCTGGAGAAAGAGACTTATTACTTTCGACCCTTTTAAATTCGTCACTAAAGTAAACTGACTGAACATTTTTAATCAGTAATAGTTCCGCATACTCTAAATGTGAAGCTTCAAATCGTTGAGGTAATTTCTTTAAGAATCGTAAAATATAAACGATTATTCTAATTAATTTTGGCCAAGAGGAAATTTTTAATGAGAGTGAATACAACAATGGAGGTTCAACCTTCTCCACCGTTATGAATACAGAAGGTTTAATTTCAGGTGCATCTATAACACTGTTAGGATCAAATTCATGAATGGGCCACTGCGAAACAGGCAGGCGTGCGAAGCGAGGGCCATGAAACCACAGAGGGTGGTCCATCAATTGTGCCGGCGTTAAACCACGGGACAGACAGTCGGCAGGATTTTCTTTTCCCGATATAAAATAAAAATTACTAGGGTGTAATAGGTCCTGTATTTGAGCTACCCTATTTGCTACGAATGTCTGCCACCGTGCTGACGGCGCGTTGATCCAAGCTAATGCCACCATACTATCGGTAAACGCATAGACATTATTTATTTTTATACGCTGTGAATAAGTGTCACAAACATTACGCACTAACTTCGCTAAAATTAAATTACCACAAAGTTCCAGTCTGGCAAGCGAAGCACTACGTACAGGTGCTACTCTCGATTTGGCACAAACTAAATTAATTACAAATTTATTTTCATTTGGAAAATAAATGTGTAGGTATACAACACCACCATATGCCCTCTCAGACGCGTCGGCGAATCCTAACAACGAAACAATGCAGTCTGATGAAAATCCAACGTGTCGCGGAATTTTAATATTTTGTAATTCTGGCAACTCTAATTCAAACTGTCGCCAAAGTTGTATTGTTGATTCTGGTGGCGTTTCATCCCAGTCTATATTATTTGTCCATAAAAATTTAATTATTAATTTTGCCAGTAAAGTGACTGGTGCTACAAATCCCATCAAATCCCACAATCGGGCAATAGTTGATAGAATGTTGCGCTTTGTACATTCACAGTTTCGCAGGTTGACAGTAAAGGTAAAAATATCTTCCGCCGGTAACCAACGAAGACCTAAGATCTTTAAATAATCATTAGGGCTAAATTCGACATCGGATAATATACGAGAAGCAGATGGAATACTCTGCATGACTTCACGCGAGTTACTAGAGAATTTGACTAGTTCGAACCCCCCAGCATTAAACAACTCAATTAATTGTTGAGATAGCAAGATGCCTTCGGATGGAGTTTCACAAGAACTGGCTAGGTCATCCGTATATAGATCGCGCTCCGCCACCGGGCCCGCGACCGGGAAACGTGAACCTTCATCTACTATCAGCTGGCGGACTGTCCGAATGGCGAGGTACGGGCTACAACAAAGGCCAAATGGTACTCGGGTTACTTGGTACAGTTTCAATGGTTGGTCAGCGTCATTTCGGTATAAAATCATTTGAAATCGCCTATCGTCAGGTCTTACTAAGACTCGCAAATACATTTGACGTATATCAGCGCTAATCGCAACTTTAAATAATCTAAAATTTAATATAATTTTAAATAAATCATTTTGCAGATTCGGACCAGTGTGCAAAATATCATTTAGTGACAACCCTGACATGGTCTTCATACTTGCATCAAGGACTACACGCACTTTAGTAGTGCTTTTATCAGGCCGTAAGACGGCGTGATGTGGAATAACGTAGTGTGACAAAAACTCTGTGTGATTACTATCAAGAGGCGCTAAATAGCCCTTTTCTAAATACTCCGTAAATACCTTATCATATTCCGATTTAAGGTCAAGTTGAGTCAATAATTTACGCTCTAATGACAAATACCTGCGCGTGGCACCCATAAGTGAATCGCCTAATTTAAAAGCATCATCCTTAAATGGTAGTGCAACGATGTAACGACCGCTAGAATCACGCGTGGTAGTATCAGAATAAAAACTTTCGCATTCTTGTTCTTCAGAGGACAGTATATTCGCAGTAGGAACGTCTTCTAATTCAAAGAACCGGCTTAGTTTATTTTCTAAGGCAATATTTTTATCTAAAGTGCAGTAAGTATGCACCTCGGAAACGGAGGACACGACTGGAGCTTGACCATAAATTATAAATCCAAACAACGTTTCAATAGCGACGGGCTCATTGACGCCGCGTGTAATAATGTTTGGTCGAATAATGCGTGCGAAAAATTCAGACCCTACAATCAAATCAATTTCGCCAGGCTCAAAACAAGTTCGATCAGCTAATGGAATATTATTTAAGTACTCGAGACGTCCGACTTCTATTTTTGCTAATGGTAAGTCACTTGTAATACGATGTGTTACCAACGGTTTAATAGTGAAACAAATAGACTTGTCGAATTGTGAACGCAAAGTTATACACGTATAGCCTTCTATAGGGTTGGCAACGTCGCCTACTCCACACACGTATTTAGTCGTGGAGGGATGTAATTGCAACTTTAATTTCTTGCAACATTTTAGTGTGATCAAATCCCGTTGCGACGCGCTGTCTACTAAGACTCGAACGGTGTGCGTATTGCCCGCGTTATCGATAACGGTGCATTGAGCAGTACCAATTAAAACAGTGGTGTGACCGGGAGCGTCCGCCTCGGACGGCGGCGCGCGCGGCTCTGGAAGGCCTGAGGTCGCGCACAGCGATACCGATTGACCGCCGCATGGTTGCCGGCCCGTTGCTGGCGGCGACGGCATCAAGGTACTCGGTGATGATTCACCCGAGTATTGTTTATCAGCACCCGAACCGATGTTGGAAGACGACTTCGAATTATTTGTTGGAAAATGAAGTAGTGTGTGATGACTACGTGAACACTTCGAGCATGTCGTTTTCGAAGAACATTGTCGTACTGTGTGGTCGTTACTTAGACAATTGACACAGTATTTATTTACTTTAACAAAAGTGAAACGCTGTGTAGGTGATAAACCTGTAAATTTTTTACACAAACGCAACTGAAAATGGTCAGTATTACCACAGCATAAGCATTTATTTTGTTCGTTAATTACAAACGTTTTACTAATTTTATTATAATTATTATTGAAACGGGAAGTAGAATTAGGTACACTATTTTTTGACGACGTCAATTTACTATTAGACTGTTTCGTGCCAGTAATACTATTAGCTCGTTGTAAAATATGCGACTGATTGCGAACAAACTCGACAAATTGTGTGCATGATGGTAGTTTTACTGAATTACCGGAATGCATTTCGAAAGATTTTACGGTGTTTAATCCCACCTTTTTCAAACCGACGTGAATAAAGATAAAATCTTCTAGACTGTCCAGTTTAAGTTGCTTTAATGAGCTAACTAATGATGAAAATTTATCAATAAAAATGTCTAAGCTATTGGAACAATCTTCATTCACAAGGGGCAAATTTAATAATTTATCTAAGTACGAAGCAGCCAGTAACCGCTTATCATTATACTTATTTACTAACGTTTGCCACAGAACAGAATAGTTTTCCGCTGTAGGCATAAAACCTTGGCAAATAGTTTGGGCCTTTCCAGTTAATTTGCCCATTAAGTATTGAATTTTTTCACTTTCACTCAATTCAGTATTATCGTGAATTGCATTCTTAAATGTCTCATAAAATATGGGCCAATTTTCCAATTCGCCATCAAACGACATCAACTCAAGCCTCGGTAGTTTCGGGCCTTGCCTATTCTGAGACGCATTTTTTGTCTCGTAGGTATGAGAATGTGATGATAACTGTGAGCATTTGAACTTAATTCGCGCATATAAGTCTTCGAAAGCTAGCATAGAAGTGTAATCTGACTCCCCAGCGTCTTCATTCGAAGCTACCAATTCATTACGCTCATCTAATGTACGTACAAACTCCGAACGTATTAAATCAACCGTACTTGCATTAGACAAAAATGTGTCTATCTGCTGCGCGGTGTCTAACTTTGCCATACTATCGTAGGTAGTTTGAATACGCGAAAAATAAGCGTTAATTTTATTTTGCAATCTACGCAAACTGCGCTCAAAACTTTGATCTTGTGATTTAGAAGTAGCCATTTTTGATAAATTGTATTAGTTAATGAAACCAGCTAAAGTATTTAATGACTTTTAGCCCCTTACTAAGAACTAGATATAGGTAAAATTATTTCGCAATCCAGGCCGAAGTGACCAAAAATAATGTATGCGCGACTGGTTCGTGTGCTGAAGGGTGTAACGGGAGAAGAGGGATAAGTTAAATAATGGAAGACTCACCAGTTCACCAACATTCAGCTGCGAAATAAGTACCTCTGTTTGTCCAGCACTTTCTTAGTACGAGTGGCCACTCGAAATACACAGTTTTTCTTCTGCAAAACTCTAACACGATGTGCACAGCACGTACAGAGCACCAAGGATTGTATTCTTATCCTTTTTGGAGTTTGACGACGAATGTAATGTTAACCGTGCGATGATAGTTCAAACACTAACGGTGAGGTGAGTACTGGAGGGGAAGCCAATTTATGGCCCAGGATCGGGTAGGTATGAAATAACTGGACGGAGATTAAAGGACTTACCCTCCTAGCACACATTAATAAAAATATATATATAATTACGTTCAGAATCCCAAAAAGGGGTAGAACCGAGCTTCAGGTAACATTTGGTTCTCATAAAGCCTCGTCTGGCAGTATGGGCCATTGATATTTAAAGTTACTATAATTTGGCCTAAACAGTGGCGATTTTACCACAATTCTGCCAATGAGAAAGAAGATGAAGATATTCTATTTCTTATGTTACACTGTCCTCCGCCTAACCCTATGATATTATTATTAGCTAAGTACATGTTTAACAATGTCAAGGATAACGATTTCACTTTCATTGAATTGTGAAATGTGAAAAATGATTTTTCATAAATTTAATTTATTTTTCTTTTGAAGAAGGGACTGGTTTTTGTTGAGGTACGTTCTGTATTCAATGATGTTTTACTACATAATTTATGTATTTATTTTTTCTTACCCACTATCGTCTTGAGGCGCAAACTAAGTATGTATAATTGGTACACTTTAACTTATAACAATACTGTATTGAAATAAAGTTTTTAAAATTGATCTAGTTTTGATTTCTCGTTGGTAATCCTAAGAGCGAGGTCACAACACTGCGTTGCGACGTCGAATCGCAATGCGATACGACGTAGTTAGTTACTTCGACCCTACATAGAGGGCTCAGGTATTATGGGAATACTTCACAAGGTGCAAGGCACAAATAACATAAGGGGCTCGAGCGGAGCGGATGAATTTCCCTAAATTGGGCCTTAGCAAAACCAATTCTTTAATTAAGCTAAGAAAAAAATATTGCATTGTTACATAATTTACTTACTTAGGTAAACCTTAAAACCATTAAAAATATACTTTCTTCCACAAAGTATCTTTATCTTAATAAAGTATTTAGAAAATATGTATCTTGTATCTAGAATTCCAAATACTTTTTCAAAAGTATCTTGTATCTGTTATCTAAAAAATTGAGTACCTACCTAGTACCTACCTTGTATTTTAGATAACGTTTTGAAGGTTATCTATTACATCTCTGATTACAGTTCCTTTAGTATGAGTTCGAGCGCACGAAAACTATCATAGTTTTCGTAATTGTAAATTATGTTTCTATATCCATTTTGGTGAAACGTAACCAGATCTCTTATCTATTAGACAAATCCGTCTGTCCGTGGTGCTGTTTCAGCGGCCAAACCGTAAGAGATAGATAAAGAGAATATTTAAGTTATAAGTTAAGAATTGTCTGATAAGACTACAAAACGGATTTGAGTAACGTAGCACTTCCGGTTTTCGAGAAATCAGGTTTTGGTGAACATTTGGTTCACTGGTTTGCTAGTATACTTATAATTTAAGAAGACGCAAAGGTTTTAATGATAGAATTTAAACACTGTTTATTTGTATTGAAACGAAAACAATAAAATCAGTACCCTCAGTACGAGTGCGAGCTCAAGAAAACTATCATAGTTTTCGTAATTGTAAAACTCGTACTAAGAGTACAGATGGCACTTTAGTAATATGAACAAGACACGGCATGACTAGTCTAAACTTATTCCTCCTTTTTTATTGAGGGAATTAGCAATATAATATACTTTGTAAATTCTTTCATTTGCAGGTTTGAAGTGTTTTAAGAAAGATATTAAATACCTTAGATACACCACGAGCGCTCAAAATTTATCCCAATCATGAAGTGCTTGAACTCCACTCAAGCACTTCTTGGTTCACAGTCACGCGCGGACCGTTACAAAGTCAAGATGTCGCAGAGCTCCGCGAAAAATGCGAAAATAATACTTACAGTAAATAAATAAATAAATATTTCCAACACTCACACCAATTAGCCTAGCCCCAAAGTAAGCACTGTAAAGGCTTGTGTTATGGGATACTAGGGTAACGGATAGAATACATATATTGTACATATACTTATAAGTATATTTATATGAAATACATATTAAACATCCATGACTGGAGTACAAATGCTCGTATTCATCACACAAACATCTGCCCCCACCGGGAATCGAACCCGGGACCTCTCGAGTCGGCGACGCCATGAAACCCGGCGTATAAACCACTCGGCCACGGAGGTCGTCAACAGTACGAAAAGTGTCGTATTTTCGATAGGTATCTAGTCAATGTTTGTTAATTTAACGCATTTGAAGTAAATTTGGATCTAATACTTACTACAAACTGATTTAATATAAAATATTTGTGATATTCAAAGACATGGTCGGTTATACGTCGCCATATAGCCGACTCTTCCCCGCGGTCCGTGCCTGCTATATTACTAACAGCGCGTTCAGAATTGCGCGTAGTCAAAGAAATAAGGTCTAAATTCTTCCGCATATAGCAATAAGTCGTAAAATTTTGCAAGCTTGCATTTCGAACTGTCAGAAGTTCTTGACGTATGCGTTTTATTTAAGACCTTAAACAGTATGTATTAAAGGTTACTTTCAATATTTAAATAATGCCTTATATTGATTTTGACTACGCGATCATCTTACGGAGCTTCGTGGATCGTTCAATGTACCTTTTGGACAGGTTTCGGGCACGATTTTGTTCGTGTTGGTGTATCTAGGGTATTTAATATCGTTGTGTTTTGATAGCAGTTGAAATTAGGGCAGAAACAAACCAAAATCAAATCACACGGCTAACAAAAATTGTCTTTATTACATATTAAGTAAGGTCATAAAAATATAAAATGGCGTCTTTTAATTTTTTACCGTTTATACATGCTAAAGTAAAGTTTAGATACATAAATGCAAAATATAGGTACTTACTCTTAAAATGTATTGGAAAATATTTGTTCACTAATTCACACACAATCTTAAATACTAGCATGCAATACTATAATATTTTTAATTTATTTCATTATGCACATTATCGACCGAAGAATTTTGCAGCCTTACATGTTAAGGCTACAATTGCTTGGCCGCCAATTCCAGTAATGTAAGGTAAGTCTGTAAAAGTACCTTTATCTAACGCAAAGAAATTACGCCCTTCAATGCAAGAACGCCAAGTTCTCCCAATGAACACACTATGGAATTCATTCCTGGGAAATTAGAAAATCTCACTTCTGTGGCTGTTTTGTACACAAGCTTTTTATTATGGCTCAATTACACTTGGTCGTTAGCCCGAATACGATTGCCAATAAAATTCAACTAAACGACTAAGTTAGGATTGCCAACCGTCCTGTTTTCCCAGGACATGCCCTAGTTTTTGTAGTGTCCTGGAACGTGCTGAATAGTTTTTAAGCAGCGTCCTGGGTTTATAATTTTTAAAATCGCGCGCCTCTTCTCAAAATTTTACGCTACATGTGATTATTTTAATTAAAGGAATTTCATTTCACCTGTTTTCACTAGATATTTATTTAACTATTGCAACACTATTAATATGTCCTGTTTTGAAACTGAATTGACCTGGTTTTTTCAACTTAAAATCCTTTTTAAATTTGAGGTTGGCAACCCTAGACTAAGTGTAAATGAACAGAGTTGAGTACGTCCGTATTCGGGTAGTTTTCATTTTGGTTACCAGACACTGTCTGATGAAATCTTTAAATCTTTTTTACAAATGATAGAATTTTCTAAATATATTTCATTTTTTGAAAATACAAGTTTCAATTAGTGGAAGAGCCAAATGTTTATTATCAAAATTCATATTAATTTTAAAAAATATTTTTTGAATACAGATATTATTATATTTAAGCCTATAGAAGAATTAAAATCTTATGTGTAACAATTTTTAAGGCAGTAACGTTACATTCAAATTGTGATAACTACAGTGACATATAGGGTGATTACAATGGACGACAATGGTTATTGGAAAAAATAAATTCGGTAATTCGTGTAAGCGCTAAATACTTAAGTAAACCTAAGCATAGACTAAGTAAGTAATAAAACTTATTTTTTTTCTAAGTATTCACTTTACAACACAAGGAATTTCGATACAAACAAGCAATAAAAGCATAAATACTCAATTTTAGGTTTTATTACAAATTTTAGTTTTTTTTTATATATATATATATATATACTTATACTTACCTACCTAATTATTTAATACATTATTAAGTGTTTTAAAAGAAGTATTATTTGGTCAACTTGCAACAAAATTCTTAAATATAATTTAAAAGCTTATTCTATGTCTATTTGATATTAAATAAATGACAAAGATGGTATCATAATATGACAAATAATAAAAATATAAATGACAAATATAGTAGTTTCGCCTACTATATATATTTTCTAGAAATATAGTATTTGATCTTCTAATAAAGTAAGATAAGTCTGTGCGGAAAGAGAATGGGCGTGGCGAAAAACGGAACTAACATTAAGATTTTTATTTGGCAATCAAACCCAGAAATCTGTAAAACGTCAAGGTTTTGTTTTGATACGGATTTGTTTGTTGTGTTGTGATTTCTTGCGGTTTTTTGTATTTAATCATGTCTAAAAGGGGTAAAACCTTACAAATACGGTAGAAAAGCAATACAGCGCCCTCCAATCTAGATCCCATTCTCTTTCCGCACAGACTACTATATTATATGAGTGGGGTAGGCAACCCTAGATGACGTGTTAATTAGGAATAAGGCTGGGCGCATATGTACGGTTTTATCGGCCGGCCTAATCGCAAACTTTTTTACAATGGTGTGGATTCTAGTGAGACTCGCTATACCTAAACTGTAATCTGACAACAGTGTATCCTTGTCATCTATATATATAAAACTCAAAGGTGACTGACTGACATAATGATCTATCATCAACGCACAGCCCAAACCACTGGACGGATCGGGCTGAAATTTGGCATGCAGGTAGATGTTATGACGTAGGCATCCGCTAAGAAAGGATTTTAATCAATTCTACTCCCAAGGGGATAAAATAGGGAATGAAAGTTTGTATGAAACTTTAGGTAAACTAGGTATAAGAAGAATCATAGATGAATGTTATTGTGTATAATACAATCCTGAGAACAAAAACTGTAGTCTACATTCAGCTCTACACCGAAGCGAAGCGAGGGCGGGCCGCTAGTTCTCTATACAAAACGAAAAGGAGAGACTGATGTTAAATTTAGTTTTAAGTTTAAAGAATCACATGCCAGAAACGACACGAGTGTGTAACTAAAGCGGAAATCGCATATCCATGGATGCTTTTCAGAACAAGTATCTTGGTGGCGTTACAATAAAGCAGTAGTGGACCACTAAATAGCTTGGTAATTATCACTTCTACCTATGAATGCAGTTAGCGAATTGGCTTATGTACCCCAAGCACGAACCAATATCGAATAGTTTGCGAGTGCGAAATGTCACTGTCATACAAAAATAGTCAATTTTAATAGAAAATGTGTCAAGTTTTACGTAAAATTCCTATTGAGGTTATTCGGACAATAGAATTTTTCTATTCTGATAAAAAAGCAATATGTGGGCCTCGTTGAAAATTTTGTATGTACAGACATTCAGACATTCAGGTCCCTAAATAGGAATTCCTGATCAGGAAACCGTATATATGCGCCCAGCCTTATAAGCATTTTAATTTAAGAATGTTGGCGCAAGCGGCCATTACATTGGTTTTTTAACATACCTGTCTACATTTTTAATAATAAGAAGTATTAACATTACAATCGGACTCAGAAACGTCAAATTTATTTAATGATTCATTAGTTAGTGTTGTCCCCAGCGTTGCCAGATTATTTTTGCCAAGTCGGGATAAATTTAGAAACTTTTTGAGTGATAAAAGCGGGATTCTTTCGTCGAAAGCGGGTCATAGCAAAAAACGTATAAGTTATTGAATATTTATCTTTTTATTTAACTTCAAATAACATTTACGTGAAAATACATAGGTGCCTAGTAAAAATGTCCATAGAAAATGTATTTTAATAAAAATATGATATTTTAAATCAGTTTACCCTATCGTTAAATAGTTGAATCTTATTCGTCTTCTGAATAAAAAAAAACAAATAAAAATCAAAAAACTTTTATTTATTAGTTTTATTCCCGAAAAGCGGGATTGAGTCTATCCCCCGCGGGACATTTAATTTGGATTTAAAAATCTCTGGCCACGCTGGTCATTCCACTCTATTACCGCAAAGAAAGACAGCAACCACTTACTCAAACTTTTATGTTAAATGATTTTTCTGAGTGCTCTGTGTTTTTTTATTCAATTTAATTAACGATTTTGGCAATCAAAGCCATTACGATCAAAGTGAGCAGGGAAGTGTATGCCCTGACTGCTTTCCCCGGGGTAGGGGTAGTAGGTGCGGCGGCGCTAGTACATGTCTCGAGATGTCTGAACATTTCAATATAATTCCTTGCAGGCTGATGGTTAGTATCCATAGTAGGCTCGGTTAATCCTATAGTGGAGTCTTTGAATAGTAAATCACTGCGGCCTAGGAAAGGTGAGTATATGCGGATGTTGATCAGCTGTTCTGCTGTGGCGATGTTGTAACCGAACAGTTGGTCCAGAGAGTCCAGTAGGGAACTGAGGCTGTTTGTGATCTGGTCGTTTCTGTGAGACAATAACATAGATATATTACATTAAATGCGTTATTTATTTATTTATTCAGAAAACCAACAGTGTAACAAAAAAAATTTTTTTTTACATACTTTGTAATACTAAGGCTAATAATAGGTTTTCTATGAGATTTACAATTGTACTAAGACGTGGGAAGACTTGATCTATTGCTTATTAGCTAATCAGTGGCGCACTAAGTCCGTCAGAGGCCCGGGGCGGCAAAGCAGAATGAGCTTTAACAAAAATTACTTTCTTATGTTTATTTCGTTTTTTTTTTTTTTTTTTTTTTTTATAGATAGGTCCGACAAATGACTCCACCCCACCTGATGTTAAGTGAAGGTGAAGTCCAAAGCATTCCATTTACGGATAGTGCGACAAAGAAATGAGTCACCAAATTTCTTTGTACGCGTTGGAATTGTGGCCACAGTTAGACGATGACAACGTAGGCCAGCGCGCGTGGTCCTCTGAAGGAAAGGAGAAGGTGGGATAAGAGAGAATAACTCCTCAGAACACTCGCCGTGGTACAGACGATAGAACGCGCTTAGTGACGCCACGTCACGGCGTAATTGAAGAGGCTCAAGGTGTTTAGTCACCTCCTCATCGCCTATGATGCGGATCGCGCGTCGCTGTAACCTATCCAAAGCATCGAGCAAGTACTTGGCGGAGCCATCCCAGAGGTGCGAGCAATATTCCACGCAGGACCGCACTTGCGTTTTGTACAACAAGCACAGTTGATCGGGCGTGAAAAAACGCCGCACCTTGTTCAGGACTCCGAGTTTGCGTGAAGCTGTTTTGATCACGGTTTCGATGTAGTTCTTTGGATTCAGGTCTGAGCGAACTTCCATACCGAGCATGGAAATGTTGCTCTGCAGCGGTAGTGTTGTGCCCTGAAGAGATGGAAGAGGAAGGAATGACGATGTTTTTGCCGTGAAAGCGCAAGCCTGAGTTTTTTTGGCATTGAACTCAACCAAGTTCCTGGTACCCCATTCGGAAATGTGGTCCAAAGCCTGATTGAGTTCAATGACAAGATTCTCGCGTTTCTCCTTGGTTCGTTAAATCGAGCAAGTGAAATTCAAATTAGAATTAAATTATTTCGGTTAAATAAACATACATACCTACAAAATGGAATGGATATGGGTGAGAAAATCAAATACGAATCAATCGACAAAAAAATACAAAAATAAATCAAAGATAGTTTTTAGCGTTTTATATATGTGTTTTCGTGACTGAACTCCTCATTAACTTCTGTGAAATCGATTTCTTTGGATTTTTTTCTATTGAAAGCACGGCTAGTTAATCGCTCCATGAACCAGTCGCTCTTGACTCATTGTAATCGAAGATAATTTTTAATTAGTTTAAGTTTCGAAAAACTCCTCTAGCATGATGCAACCGAGATGCAAGTAGTCAAGAAATATCTATATTGAAGTATAAGCAATTTACAGAGTAACGATTCACTGATGGCCCATTTTATTATTAATTAAAGGATTACTTGGGCTCTCCGATTGGCAGCAACGTTTCTTTATCGGTCCATACTCGTATCGGTGGCTTTTAAATGCCTGCGGTACTTTTTTATTTTTTGGGAAATTTGCTCCTTGTCAAATTCATCATTACTTTGTATCAGATTGTCAACTGCTAAAGCCAGAGCATCATCTGAAGCATAAGCTTTATTTCAATAATTTGGAAAAGATTATTGATTTCTTTCATGGCCCCGTATCGTGTCGACAATTCTTGTATATACCGATTTATGCATTCATTCATTGACCGACTTATTTCTTCTGGAATTGATAATCCAGCATCATGAGCTGATTCACCTGGCATCGTTCTTTTCACCTTACTTCTTCCTCGTTTCTCGATGTTGATGTCCATGTCATTGCATTGTTTTTATGACAAAAGTTACAATATTGTCTACAATGGTGGTTCGTTCGGTCACTAAATACTCATACAAGGCGTTTAATTTGGTGATTCCTGTATCAAGACTCGTTTTTGGAGACTGCAAATATTGTTGAACTTTAGTTAGTTCTTCCAGAAAGCCAGAATTGTATAATATGTTAGAAAGGTAGAATCACAAACAGCCGGCAGGAGCAGGCTTGCTCCTGATATTGTATCTAGATTTGCTTTTGGATCTTGAAAACGTTCCAAACTACTTACAAATGTCTCTATGTTGTCTTTTACAACTTTTACTGACTCGTTTAATGTTTTATATTTTTCCAGTTTTCTCTTTCAGCAATTGCCATCTCTGTGTAGATGACGAAAACAACGAATATGATTTCTCTACTGTTCCAAAACATGTGACGCTGGAAGGAACGCATACAAATGCATGAACTCCACAAAGATTCAAGGAATGATTAGAACAAGGACTGAACAGTGCATTTGGATTTACTTTTCGGATTTTTCGTTGCACCCCTCCATGGACACCTGACAATGACGCGGCATTGTGATTTGCACTTCATTCATTCAGGAATGTTTGAGGTAGTACCCGCTACAAAGCATTCCCTCAGCGTATTGGACACGTTCAGCAAAGGTAAAAGAATATTAGTACCGCGTAAAAAGTGTAGATGGCTATAGTGTTTTAATCTTGATGAAATTATGTAGGTACTAAGCACATTTTAAAGTCATGTTTAGGTTTTGATCAGGGGAACTCGGAGACATTTGGGGCCCCCCAAGATCGGAGGCCCGGGGCGGGCCGCCCCTTCCGCCCCCCTGTTAGTCCGCCACTGTAGCTAATACTAGTTTTATTGTGTATGATGGAGAACCAAGTACATAGTCCCTCATCACCAACTGCTCCCGGCGTCCCGAGTCTTTGTTAATAGAATGAATGTAATATAATTTTTGCCGTAATAGCATACCGAACGTATTAAAGGAAATACTGCAAAACTCGCTGTTTAAATGTGTGTTTCGATATCCCGAAAAGTTCAAGTTCGTTAAATTTTGTGTAATATGTACCTACGTGCTATACGAATGAGGACATTGTTACTAGCATATGTAGTGGCAGTGGCGGCGCTAGGCGTCGGCGACGTCGGCCACCGCCGAAAGCCTCGCGCCTGAGGGGGCCTCGCAAAAAAATTTTACAAGTTACCTATTTATTTTCGTTTCTCCTGGCCTGGCTTAGGTAGCCGACTCCGAACAATTCGGGGAAAAAGCTAAGCAGATGATAATGACTTTTATTATTTTCGAACACGTGCATGATGGAAGCGACTAGTGCTTTACATGTATTCAGAATCGTCTGTCTGGCAACACTATTTTTGTAATTAAATTTCTATGTACAAACATAATTAATTACTTTTTGTCATCATTTGATTATCAACAATAAAACTCGTTTACTCATACGTTATTTTATAATTTGGCTCACTTAATTTAACTGTTTTTTACTGTGAAGTAAAATAGGCCTCGCGAAATTGATGTCGCCGACGTCCACATGTAGTCTAGCGCCGCCACTGTCTAGTGGAGTATTTAGGTGTACACAGCAAAGGAGTATGGCGTGTGCGTCGCTTAGGAGTACAAAATCCGATACCCGCTACTAAATCTGCGCAGTCCAATTGCCCGTTTAAGGTGTCGAACAGTAGGCACATGTCAAGCATTACCCGCCTCTCCTCTAAGCTAAAGAGGCCATGATGTTGACATCCACTATGATATGAATCAGGGAAAATACTTAGTTAGGGAATAATAGTTGTCGATAGTTAATATGTTTAATATTGGAACGAAGTTCCTTACGGCAGGCTTGGAGGGGATAGGGATTTTGCTGCGTAACCGAACTGAAAAAAATGTGATAGTAAAACCGTAAGAAAAAATCCGTGGAAAAAAGTGCGTGGAATAAAACCGTTAATGAGACGTGCGCAGGCGCGACAGTCGCATACACAAGCGAGTTTGCAATTTGTGTCGATTCTACATTAGCCGAAGGAACTTCGTTCCTACCTGGTGTCCCACGACACCACATAATTTTTTTTTTGTTATCTCTTAGGTTTTTTCTGTTTTAATTCTATTCTGTTTTAATTTAATTATTTTTAATTCTTTGTTCATTTTCAATTTATTTTGACATAATTATATGTAAAGAAAAGTTTTACTAGAAAAAAATCCACCCGGACCAGGCAGCCGACGGGACACGAACCCGCAACCTTCGCAATCCGGGCGAATGCACTGACCAATTATACTACCACGGCCCTGATGGCCGCGTTGAAATTTTCCTAGCCTTGAGCTGCAAGGCAGCGCCATCTCTTCGCATTGTAGGTAAACCACTTTTTTTTGCTAGTAAAACTTTTCTTAAGATTTAAACATCTAGCAGTTAAATGCTTAAAAAAAATAAAAACATAACTTAATTACGTGTTTTTTAAATGTATTGTTTTATTGCTATTATTATTTATTTTAATGTAATTGTCGTATTGTTTTTTTTTAATTTTGATATGGATCTCGTGTCTGATATACATGCTTTTATTATTTATTATTAGGTCATCAAAAATTTAACTTGCTTATGGAGCAACGTGCATAACCATAGTGGCCAATCTTACTTAGGCCAGTATGGCACCTCAAATTTAGATCACAGACTAAAACCTGTAACAGTGATTATGCTGCCATCTAGTGAATATTCGTTGTATCCTTTTAGACCACTCTGGTTCTATCAAAATGATCAATTTGAACTGGAAAAAATCATAAACTCAATATTGTAAAAAAATGAGTTAGGCCACTATGGTTCTCATGGCCTCAATTATAGTCAGGCCGCTCAGAGAATGCGTTTCTGACAGGTCGGGTTAGTTCCTTATGGCGACAGAATAAATTACACTGTAGATCTAATAAAAAAGAGGTTCGAAAATTAACTCTAATGCTATTCTTTGAGCGACCGGACTATAGAAGTTTATATCAACTTCATTTCTACCAAAATTTATTGTTTTCCTAAATAAACTAAAAATAAAATAAAAATCTTACCTCCTAGTAAGCACTTCAGCGTCCACAACGTGGGCTATCAAACAGTCCTCTGGTACATCAACACCCACATTCTGTGCCAAAGAGTTGTTTCTGCACAGTGCGCGGAAACTGGCGTTTTGCATGCCCAAAGCCTGGAGTTGCGCTGGAAATTAAGAAAATAATCATTTATTATTATTTTACTAGAAAAAACTCCACGCGGACCAGGCAGGGGACGGGGCTCGAACCCGCACCCTTTGCAATCCGGACGAACGCACTGACCAATTTAAATTATGCTACCACGGCCCTGATGGCCGCGCCGAAATTTTCCTAGCCTTAAGCTGCAAGGCACGCCATCTCTTCGCATTGTAGGTAACCCATAATGTCAAATGAATACTTTTTCAAGTATTAAACATTTGAGAGAAGAAATAGCAATTATAGTTATGTTTTTATTTTTTAAGCATTTAACTGCTAGATGTTTAAATCTAAAGAAAAGTAGGCAGCGGACGGCGATATAGGCGATTGACCCACTGGCCCGCGTGGATTTATTTCTGTTTTTTTTTTATCAGAGTACCTATTCTCTAATACAACTCAACGTTGAAATCGTCGATGAGTTTTCATCTCGTATAATATTTATTGCAACGACTTGAAAGTTTTAACCATAAATTGTTCGCTACTATTGGAATTATTGGAAAAAATATCGAGAGAATATATTATTCTAATGTGTAATTTTATTACATATACTGTGTGTGTTGATGATTTGGTTGCCTACATTATTTTGGGGAAATTTCTGAGTTTATGTCCTTTTTTTAAAGTAATTCTTTTTAACGCACATTTTTATTAAAATTTTGATTTAAAAAATACTTTTAAAGAAACGTGAACACCGCGACAGCGCTTGGTCAGTCTCCTGTTTTTTTTTCAAGTTGTTATTTTGTTTCCAAAGTTTGTGATAGGTAAGCAAAATAAACGAATTTCTTTAACTTATCTATCTATGAATTAACTGTTAGGCCAAATACCTACACTCTAAACTAATAAAACTGAAAATATTCCTTAAAATGTTGTTGTTGTTTTCTTAGGTTTTCACGCACATCACTCATTAAATAAAACGATGCAGACCTGAACAGGCTGCGAAACGACAATAAATAAATATAGTTCGTGCATTAACCCGTTAAAACTAGTTTTATTAATATTCCTTTAATACCAAGCTGCGAAGCTTTTTACGTAGGTATTATAAGAAGTATGTATGTATTTATGTGTATGTATATGTTTAGTTTTATTATTTGTGTATATTTATTAATATATATTATTTTTATATAATTATATTCATTATTAGTACTATTCATATATCTTTAAATGTGATCTCCAACTCAGTTGTGCACCCTACCACTAAAATCTCCACAACACCCTATGGTTGAATGGTAGAGAATGCCTACGGTATTAAGTCCGCCATTATACAGTATGTGCATGAAGCATGCATAATATATAAAAGCATGAATCCCAATCATCCCACAAAGTTAGTAAAAAAATATAAAATTTGATAGGGCCGGACTTAGAAATTTGGAGGTCCAGGGTTGCATTTTTCAAATTTAACCCCCCCCCCCCCCCATAACTTAATTTAAAATTAAACAATAAAATAATTAATAACATTAAAATAACGGTTACCCGTAGAAATTTAGTTATTTTTATATCTGTTATGGGGGCCGTCCCGTCGGCCCTGCCTTAAATCGGGCCCCGAAATTTCACCTCATATAATAATCATAAATTGTTGACTCACCACGAATATTCTGCGTCTCCACGAAAGCGACATGGGTGTTGGGATCGTTCAAGCACAGAAGCGAGCCGTTGTTGCCGAAGTACCAGTTGGTGTTATTCCACGAACATGTGACTGCAAGTAAAAGAAACACTGTAATGGTGGTCACTCATGCTGCTTGATCAAGTGGTATGATCAAACAGGTTTAATCAAAAAGCTTGATCATGGCAAAATCTTTCCGTTAAGTGGCATCTCCTTCCTAAATGTGTCCCGATACATGGTCAGTTTAGCTTGATCAAGCTTAATTGATAAAGCCATTTGATCAAGCGACAGAATGGTGAGTAGATACCATAAGAATACATTCAATGAAGACTGTACTTAGGTTCGCCAATTAGCTTTAAAGTTTGATTGATAAAAGGCATTGTTTTAACTAAAGAAATAATTACTAAAAAATCACTTGGACCAACCAGAGCTATTCGCTAAAGTGAAAAGAAATGCCGGTCGAGTGGAATTTATTGTATTAAAAACGTATATTATTAATATTTTTGAACGCAGCAGCAAAATGCTACAAATAAAAATGTTTTGTTACAACATTGATGACGATTATTTTTAAATATTTTATGTACAAGTACTCAAGGGGATTGTCACACTTCCTACTACAGCATGCAAAGAGAAAGCCTATTTTGCCCGTTAAATTTTTTACAGAATGTTGTATTTTGTTGCTGCTATAAATCATAAATAAAATAAAAAAAACAATTTGGAAATTTTAAGGGACGCCCATATTGGAGATTTCTGTAATGTGAAAGAATATATGACAGACACGAAATGATTTGTAGGATTTTTTTTAAAAGAATTATGTCAAATTTGTAGTTATAACTGTCAGTACACTGGCCTGGATAACGAACGGCAAATTCATTTTTGTAATAATCTAATCTTGCAGTTAAAATGAAATGCTGGAATAAAAATGTAATAAATGGTCCTTAATTTAAATATTCTTTATTTCTATTAATATAGTAAATATAATATTTTGATAAATAATACTCACATTCGCTGTTAGTTGCGTTAGCGAAAGCAGGGCTGCTCCAGCGGCACGCTGTACACAATCTCGACGCGTTGAATGTCTGAAAATACGTAAAATAATTAATTTTAAAAAAGATAAGAAAGTGTTAAAATTCTCTTGAAAATTTACCAAAAAATAATATTAAAGTATATTTTTTGCTAATTTAACAAGCTAATGAAGATCTAATTAGGTTAGTTACTATGTCATTCGACTGGTAAGCGAAGGGTGGAGTTTTGCATCTACCAGGGAGCCTACTGCCCTATCGGGTTTGCTATGGCTATGGTTTATGAATTCGTTTTGTTATTTCTGACCGGCAATGATTTTCAAATACCTCATGCTAATTTTCTTTAATATTGTTATTACCAATGCAAAACAAAAAAAGAGCGCGAGGCATTTGAATACCTTCGGTGGTCAGAAATAACGAAATGAAATCATAGGCTATAGCTATAGCCTTAGCAAGCCCGGTAGGCGGTAGGCCCCCTGGTATAGGAAACAAATTATTATTCTAATGAAAATTAGATTCTCTTCAAACTTACAACTTAAAATTTAACAATAGTGTATTCTTGTCATGCTCTGTACCTACAGAATGAAAAATGACAGTTATAATGACAAAAAAAATATAGGTTTAAACACCAGAAATTACATACAACACCATTAGGAAAATATGCAGTTTATAATAAGAAACCCGCAGATTTAAAGTTATTTTTTGTATGCTGTTGGTCGCAGATAACCTTTACAGCGTCACCTGATTTGGGGACGGCGAGCTCCCAAGGGGACCTTAAGCCGAGAATTGGCGAGTGCCTCTAGAGGTATTCCAGGCGGATGGCATCTCCCCACGGGGGGAGTCTCCTCTCCGTCTGGAGCCTCTAGACCACTCGAACCTGAGGGGGTCGGCTCAACTAGAGGGTGTCTCTGAGACTCAGACCTCGACTCTAGTTAGCCGTTGTCGTGGGGGGCGGGGTAAAACGCCCAGGTAAATACCTATACCTGGTATAGCGTGTCGTGAGTAGACCGGGTCTTCGTACTTTTATCCTACGTGTGCGGTAGCTCCCTATATAAAGTTATACTCACGGATGATTCGTATATAGTATGTGAAGCGTCCAAGGCCCCGGGGGCGCAGGATCCGCTGAAGAACTCCCCGACGGCGCGCGCGTAGTCACATTCTGAAGAACTGATCACGCCACGCTCGTGGGCCGTTCGGACGAATGCCATGAACGCTGTATATTTATTTATAAATAAATAAATATTTCCAACACACATCAATTAGCTTAGCCCAAAGTAAGTATTGTAAGGGTAAGGCTAGAATACATATACTGTACATATATTAAACATCCATGATTGGAGTACAAATGCTCGTATTCATCACACAAACATCTGCCCCCACAGGTGATTCGGACCCGGGATCTCTCGAGTCGGCGACACCATGAAATCACACAGACCACTCGGCCATAGAGGCCGTCAAGTCTATTTATTTGTTTATTTGGCATTCTTCTTGTACATTTAAGTTCTTAGATTGATTGATGGGCATCGCATTTCTCTTATAAACTAATACTTAGTTAAAATAATTGAACTGCATTTGTGAAAATATAATTGGAATTACAATGAAATATGAATGAAACAATAAAAAATTATCTTCGAGATATTCTTGTTAATTATAATAAGCCTTACTTTGGAAAAAAAAATGTCAAGTTCACAGACAGCCTACAGTCCTTTTTAAATAAGTCTAGATGTGGTGTGTATTGACATATATATAATGTATTATCTTTTATATATGCTCAACAAATATTAATTGAACTGCATTTGTGAAAATATAATTGGAATTACAATGAAATATGAATGAAACAATAAAAAATTATCTTCGAGATATTCTTGTTAATTATAATAAGCCTTACTTTGGAAAAAAAATGTCAAGTTCACAGACAGCCTACAGTCCTTTTTAAATAAGTCTAGATGTGGTGGACATATATATAATGTATTATCTTTTATATATGCTCAACAAATATTAATGACGGACTACCTCCGTGGCCGAATGGTATAAAAGACAGGTTTCAATGTGTTGCCTACTCCAGGGCACAGATTATTATTTCGGGTTCGAATTCCGGTGGACAAATGTTAGTGTGATAAATATCGACGCATCTTAACAGAGTTCAATAAATAAATTTAAATACCTAATACTTCTGTCTCATTGAACCATCAAAACCCTTTAACAGTGTTCATGAACTTTTTCTTGCTAAATTCTTGCTATAAATCTGATAATTTATTCAGACTCGGCTGTTAAAATTACTTCTGAAAGTCGAATAAATATGACTACGGGAGATCTTGACTAGCAAAGAAGTTAGTTACACATAAAAGTATAATGAGGCAAGGAATTACTGAATATCCAATACGACAGCTATACTCTAAGTGTGTTCCGCGGAACCCTAGGGTTCCGTGATACCTCTGTCGGGGTTCCGCAAGAATTTAGAAATAAAAAAATCAAAACACCTCTCTCTGGTCGCTCCGCGGCTGTGCGGACTCCGCGGCCGCGCGGAGACAAAACGCTATGAATGTTATTTATTTATTTATTTGTATTTGTATAAGCTTGTGTTACATTAGCTGGTACAATATCTCATAAGTTTGGTCTCAACAATTTTATACTTGTACAACGCGTTCGCTCTAAGTTTGCCGGTCTGTGGAATGCGCGTACCCTCCCCCACGTGACAACAAAACTTATAATGTGTCATAGTTTTACCCAAATATCTAACGTACACAATTTTTATTGTTACAATTAAATAAAAAATTTCGAACGTCATACACTCATACCTATCGCCAGCGGCAAACTTAAAACGAGCGGGTAGTATACTTGTAAGCGCTCAGTCTCTTTGATAAAAGCCGCCTCTGAATTAGACGCTATAGTTGTCAACTAGCGACTTTCGTCTCTAACTTCAAAGGATAAAGTCGATATTGTTTACAACGCTATTTTTAAATTTCTGTTTTTATTTTTGCTTTTTGTTTATCAAAGGTGCCGACTCGAGTATTTTCGAGAATATTTGAGATCGAGTCTAGGACTAAGTATAAAAGCGGCGATCGCGCGTTGGCGTCGTCAGTTGATGATTAGCGTTCGGAGCGATAAGTTACTACCTACTTACAAGCTCGCTAGCGAGAAACTGGTGTTCATTGTTTTACTGCCTGCTGTATTCTGTTGTCTCAGTTTTATACGTTTCTTCCCTGTAGGTTCTAAATTTAGTCTCTTATACGCAGTAACGATTGTGCATTATTTAAACCCCACTATCCTGACTTGTAACATTATAAATAAAGAAGAATGGAACGTTGGCTTAAAGGTGTTAAACGTGTTCCAACAACATCTTCTAATGACGCTGAATGTTCAAAAGCAATGCGCGCGGAGAATTTAGCAATCACCGATCCAGAAGATGATGCCACGAGTGCCACGACGTCAAGCTCGACGGTTTCAAAGACGAAAAAAAGGAAGTATGATGAATCTTATATCAGTTTCGGATTTGTTGATTCCAACGGCTCACCTCTCTGCATGCTCTGTAGTAAACTGCTTCCTAATAGTTCCATGGCACCTGCCAAATTGCGTCGACATTTAGAAACCGTACACCCCGAGACTAAAGACAAGAATAAAGAATTTTTTGTTCGCAAAAAAGATCAGTTATTAGAAAGTCAAAAAAATATGATGCATGTAACACAAACTACCAACGAAAAGGCCACGGAGGCATCATACTTAGTTAGCTATCGCATTGCACAAGCAGGTGAAGCGCACACTATCGCTGAGAAATTAATAAAACCATGTGTATTAGACATAACAAAATGTATGCTTGATGAAAAATCTGCAAAGCATCTTTCTACTGTTCCGCTATCAAACGATACTGTTTCACGACGAATCCATGATCTGGCAAGCTACGTCAAACAAGAACTAGTTACACGTCTACAAAATACACGATTCGCTTTGCAAATGGACGAGTCGACTGATGTCGCTGGTTTGGCTATCCTGCTGGTTATTGTGAGATATCCATATAAAAGTTCTTTTGAAGAAGACATGCTTATGTGTTCATCGCTGCTTACAAACACTACCGGGGAAGAAATTTTTAATAAAATAAATATATTTTTTGAAGAACATAATCTCAGTTGGAACAATTGCATTGACATTTGTACAGATGGGGCCAAGGCGATGACAGGTAAAACAGCAGGAGCAGTGTCACGAATGAAAAATAAAGCGCCTAATTGTAGTTCCAGTCATTGTATTCTGCATAGACAAGCACTTGCGATGAAGCAAATGCCGTCTAATCTAAAATTAGTTATGGATGAAGCGGTAAAAATAATTAATTTTATCAAATCACGACCACTACAATCCCGATTGTTCTCATTATTGTGTGAAGATTATGGCAGCAAACATAAAACACTGCTGCTCCATACAGAAGTGCGATGGCTGTCTCGGGGAAAAACTTTAACAAGGCTATTTGAACTTAGAGCCGAGTTACAAATGTTTCTTTCAGCAGATACTTCTTTTAATTTGAAGGACCGTTTGTATGATAAAACTTGGTTGTTCCGATTGTCTTTTATGGCGGATATCTTTCAAAAACTTAACGAATTAAATTTATCATTGCAAGGTAAACAGACAACAGTGTTTCAGGCCTATAATAAAATAACTACTTTTAAAAGAAAATTAGATTTTTGGATCATTTGCATTGGTAAGAAAGAAATAGAAAGTTTTACGTTACTCACTGAGTTTGTTAGCGAAAACGACTCAGAAATGTTTGAAGATAATGTGTTTGAAGAATTGGTCCAATATCTCAGTTCGATGCGCGCATCTTTTGAAAAGTATTTTCCCGAAGAACACAATACAAAAATTAAAGTGAACTCCTGGATTCATAATCCTTTTTTACCCAACTTGGAAAAGCCTGAAAACATGTCAAATGAGATATATGAATCTCTTTTAGAAATGTCATCAGACACAAGTATGGAGTCATTGTTCAAAACGACGCCTCTTAATGATTTTTGGTGCAGAATCCAAGATGAATATGCAATGCTTGGCCAAATGGCTCTGGATATTCTTCTCCCGTTCCCAACTACATATTTGTGCGAAACAGGATTCTCTACCTACGCAGCCACGAAAACAAAATATCGCAATAGACTGGACGCCGAAGCTGATATGAGACTCCAACTTTCTTCCATCAAACCTGATATCAAGCAATTGATGAAAAATAAAAAACAGTTTCATACCTCCCACTAGTTAGATTTTTTCTTTTTTAATGTTTTCTATTATTGTCCTTACCAAGTGGTGAAGTAAATAATAATTAGTAACGGATACATTGTACTTTTATTATGCTGATTAATATAGAATACACTTATAAAAATAATTGTTTTATTGTAGGGTTCCATCAAGTATTTTGCTTCCCAAAAGGGTTCCGTCATTTAAAAAGTTTGAGAACCACTGCAATACGAAATTCATCGATGTTTCAACGATGACTTTATAGTTGTAAGGATGCATTCACTTGAAGAATAACCACTTCTGCGAGTTTGACTTCATTTTTAAATTCTATATAAATAATTTCTCAACAACATAGATTTTTAATAAATATTTCACTTACCAAGACCTCCAAACTCTGGGAAGCACGCGACCTTGTCCCGAAGGTTCTCGAAACGGGATATTTCGTTGGTAACCGATTCCTTCACTAAAGCCGCTACGCGAGATGTGGAATCGCGTAGATTCTGTACCAACTTCACGGGAGATAGACGAAAGTGTCTGCAAATGAACAAATGAGAAAAAGTTTAAATTTTTTCTTGCTCATAGTCAAAGCCCCCCCCCCCCCCCCCCCCCTCTTAATAATAAACAAAATATAAGCTTAGATTTGTTAAATATTTAAATATATTTCCAACACACACTAATTAACCTAGCCTCAAAGTAAGCACTGTGGGCTTGTGTTTTGGGATACTAAGGTAACGGATAGAATACATATACTGATACATATACAGGGTGAAATTGAATGTTTTAATGAAACTTCGTGGGAATGTTGGGTTACGTATATAGAGTATCTCTGATTTTTTTCGGATTTTTTAAAAAATGATTTAAAATAAATTTTTTTTTTTTTTTTTGTTATATTTTAAGTCCTTTCCTCCTTTATTCTTTTAAAACATGCATACAGAGTAAGTAAAAAACAAGTAATAAGCACTACTAAAAAAGACGTAAAAACAGGAGACGGGCGGCCGGGAGCAATGACCGCTCCCGCCGTTGAATACCTTCCTGCCTACCTATCTAGGTATGCGCGGTGCACAGCGCAGTGAGCGAGCGGAGTCTCAAGCGCGCGTGCGTATCTTTTAAATTTGTGACAAGACAAGATTTGCAAATAATGCCTTGATTAGTTCTTGTTCTGTGCCCTCAATATAAGAATTTGGATATGGTGTGTTGTTATTGCGAGTGTCACGGAATACTCAGCAGAGCCACAAGGCTTTACGAAAGTAGGTTTGGTGATTTATTGGGAAGTTATAGAGAAAAAAATTAATAGGTACATCGGTCTCGTAAGTACTTTTGAATTCCTGGTAATAAATTTCATTCTGACCCAAGTATTGAACTGCAATAAGTATTTCTTTTTGTTACTACTACTTTTGCCTATTTCCAATCGTGACAAAATTATTATTAACTTTTTAAGTTTTTCTCTGCTTAAGAGAAGATGACATTTGTGCTTATTATTTCAATTTCAATAAAGGCATCTGAGACGATTTTATTGTATTGTGTGGAATCAAACAAGTCAGCTGAGCTCCGTGTACGTACCTACTCACTCAACGGCTGGCGGGCGCGGTCGGTCGTTGACCCGCGGTGGAATTTTACTGTTTTTCCGTTTTTTAGAAGTGCTTATTTATTAGTTGTTTTTCACTGGATATGTAAGCATGTTTGTTTAATATGAATAACTACTCAAAAGGAGGAAAGGAAAAAATAATACACAAATTATAAATAAATACATGAAAAAAAATACTTCAAAAAAATCCGAAAAAAATCAGGCATACTCTATACTCGTAACCCAACAATCTCACGAAGTTTCATTAAAACATTCAATTTCACCCTATATAAGTATATTTATATAGAAATACATATTAAACATCCATGACAAATGCTCGTATTCATCACAAGTTACGCCATGTTTTCTCTCTGTCCATTGAATTACAAATAACATTTGAGTGATATGAACAAAACACGCCGTACTAGACTAAGCTTATTCCTCGTTTATAAATATGAGGGCGGAGGTATATCTCGGCAAATATAATGTGAACATGAATGGAGCTGTGTAGAATGAAATGAAACGTCGTGGAATGGAATGGCGCATAATGAAATGAAATGGAGCATCATAAAATGGAATGGCGCTTGGTGGAATGGAATGCAGCATAACAAATAAATGAAACGAAGTATTTATATAAATATATCAAGAATATCGAATCAATAGTAATGCGGCCCCGGGTTCGAGTCCCGGTGGAGGCATGGATGGAATCAGACTACAATAAAATAAAGTCTAGAAGACTTAAATTGAGATACTCACGTCCTAGCCAAGAACCCGTAATGCGTGTCTATGGAAATGAAATCCGCGTTGCCGTCCCTTATGTCTCTCAAGCAGGCGAATTCGTTCGCCCTCTGCTGGCACGATATGGCGGGCTGTATTCCCAACGTGTAAGTCGCCTACTCAGAAGTCTCGCGTTCGTATCCCGGTGGAGGCAAGGATGGAGTCAGACTGGACTAAAATAAAGTCTAAAAGACTTAAATCAAGGTACTCACGTCCTAGCCAAGAACCCGTAATGCGTGTCTATGGAAATGAAATCCGCGTTGCCGTCCCTTATGTCTCTCAAGCAGGCGAATTCGTTGGCCCTCTGCTGGCACGATATGGCGGGCTGTATTCCCAACGTGTAAGCCGCGGTTCTGATCCAAGTGCATTTCTCGTGTTCCGCAGCTGACATTGTGCACCATCTACGGGCGGGGAGACAAGATGCGGTCGCATCTATGGCTGGGATGCTGCGGACTTGAGGGAGAAAAAAATATTATAGTTTCATTTTTTTTTAAGCATGTAACTGCTTGTTGTTCAAATGTAAAGAAAATATAACTAGAAAAAATTCCACGCGGACTAGGCAGCAGACGGGACTCGAAGCCGCACCCCTCGCGGTAGCATAATTGGTCAGTGCATTCGCCCGGATAGCGAGGGGTTCAGGTCCCGTCTCCTGCCTGGTCCGGGTGGATTTTTTTCTAGTTCTATTTTGTTTAGATTTAAAGAATATTATGTTAAAATAAAATTTTATTTATACACAGGGTCGGATTCAGAGGTGTGCAGGCCCTGGGTAGGGATGGAACGATACGAGTAATTACAAATAACTACTCGATACTTTTCTTTCGATACCAAGTACTTTTGGCATCAATACTTTAGAACTAAGTAACAAATAGTATGGTGAAGTAAGTACTTGTATAGTCTGTGCGGAAAGAGAATGGGCGTGGCGAAAAACGGAACTAACATTAAGATTTTTATTTGGCAATCAAAACCAGCAATCTGTCAAACGTCAAAGTTTTGTATTGATACGGATTTGTTTGTTGTTGTGATTTCTTGCGGTTTTTTGTATTTAATCATGTCTAAAGGGGGTAAAACCTTACAAATACGGTAGAAAAGCACTACAGCGCCCTCCAATCTAAATTCCATTCTCTTTCCACACAGACTCTAGGCAGATTATATACTGTATGGTAAGGTGTCACATTGGATTTTTTGTTTCGCGAACGCATCTTATCTACTGCTCAGTTGGCAGGCTTGCGTATGATATAAATTTATTCCAATTTATTCAGTCAGTCATTCATTCACTGCGTGCCGTGAGCCGTTATTTTGTTTTCATTAAATTAAAACTGTGACTGAATTTAGTAATTGTAATATCATTGGTCAAAATTTGTCTGATTTAATGATTTTCTTTAATGATACTTTTCATTCGCAAAAAGTACTCAGTGTATTTTATGACAGATACAGTATCGAGTAAAAGTAACGATACCTAGATGGTATCGTTTCATCCCTAGCCCAGCCCCTCTAGCATGACCACCGAAACGGGATATGTTAAAGCGATATATCGGCATTAACTCTTAGATTACTGTCAAACACCACTGTAGTATGAAAGTTAATGCCGATATATTATCGCTTTATTATATCCCATTTCGGTGGTCATGCTAGAGGGGCTGGGGCCACCAAGATTTGGGGGTTTCTATTTTCAAATCTGAACCACTACGATCTACGATTTGCAAACGAAGTTATCTTTTTCTGTTAACAAAGGGGCCTCCCCTTTCTTGTGGGGGTACTAAAGAATATAAATGAATACAAACGTTACCCCTTCGACAGTTGTAACAGAGATATATTAAGTTTAAACAACTTCAGGTAAATAAAGTAGGTACATAGTCATAATCATTGCGTTAATTCGTAATATTGGCCCTTATTGAAATGAAACTTCTTTACGCACGCTTGACTCGGGAGTTAAGCTGGCAAATGCGTTACGCGTTACTTGTTGTTGTTACAACAGCATTAGAGGAAAAAAAATATAATAATAACAACAAACAAAAGCAAAACCTATTCTAACTAATAGGTAGCTAGAAAATTATCCAGTTTCTAATAATAATAACCGAAGGCTGTGTGTGTGCAGGTGTGTGAATGATCAGTTGCAACAGTACTGCCACGGTAATATTATCTATATAGTAATATTATATAATATTAATAGTATATAATTTTACCGTGGTACTGCCGTCCTCAAGCTAAAACGCGGCTAAACGACACAACCAACTTTTGAGATATGGCCAAAAAACGGCTCGTAAACTTAAAATTATTGCTATTTTGTAACCATTCAGCGCATGACGGATTTGATTTGAACTGTAGAAGATACGAAAACTTGTTAAAGACAGATCGATAGAGTTATAAAAACTATATAAGATGCAATTTAGGGCTGAAAAATGGACTACATGTCACTTAGCCACACTATAGTTTAAGGACGGCAGAGTAGCAGAGGCGAAATAAAAATCTCACGTGATAACTACGATAATCATCATATTTGCAGGTGTCCTAATGGTAAAAGGGAATTGATGATGTAAATAACACTCACTAGGGCTAGTAAAGTTCGATGGCGACAGCAGTGGAGTTAGATTAGATTCGAACGCGACCCTAGTATTGGGTCCGGCTAGCACGGAGAACAGGTTTGATTCCCAGGAGTTGCCGCTGGGGTCCTGACCATCGGGCCACCAGTTCTGAAGGCTTGCCAGTAGAGCGTCGGCCGAGGCGCTGGAAAGGTAATTTATAATATTGTTACTGGCTGTCCCAGCGAACTTCGTACCGCCATAAAAAATAAGGGTTGGTGGTAGAAGGGTGAAAATTTAGGGTTGTATGTATTTTTGTATAGTAGAAGGACCACCCTTAACATTTAGGGGGATGAAAAATAGATGTTGTCCGATTCTCAGACATACTGAATATGCATATAAAGTTTCACGAAAATCGGTCGAGCCGTTTCGGAATAGTCCAATTACACTCACCGTGACACGAGAATTTTATATATTAGATTTTAAGTGCAGGCAGTCTTCGACTTACGTCGTTTCGATTTACGTCATTTCAAGTTACCTCGAACAATGTTTTGACACTATTTCTCAAGTAACGTCAATTGTTTCGATTTCCGGCATAGGAGAATTAACTTGTCGCGAGGTCAATGTCCGTGGAGCCGGTGCCCGTGGGGATGTCTCGACTTAAGTCGTTTCAATTCACGTCGCGTATTTCGAGAACCTAACATAGCCGTACGAGGACTGCCTGTATTGAACATCAGTCTATTAATGTTCCCACTGGTGGGCCTTCCCTAAAGATGGAATAGGGAGATAGGCCCGTGACCCACCATGCGGGCCCAGTGCGGATTGGTCGGTGCTAACGACTGCAGATGCAGCCGGGACCGACAGCTTAATTGGCATATAAACCTATGGATAAAAACTCCTAAATATATATATATATATATATAAGCTGTGCTAAATGATACCAGCTGATAAAAATTGTGCAGCTGCAGTGTTATCGCCAATTGTGTGCCAATTTTCTAACAAAACATGTTATCAAAACAAGTTTTATCCAATCGCCGTTAGCAGAACTGTTAAGCCACGCCTCTAATCGGTTAGCAAGCAATGTTATCGGGCATTTCCTAAGGCCGTTTGTTCACAGCGGCCGACGCTGAATCGTCACCGAGAATGAGATTACTTAGAAAATATATGCAATATTACTGAGAAAGTTGGTAAAGTTCCTGTATATTTACAGTATGTGAATGAATATTTATTGTATTTTATCTATTTTATTCATTCGGTATACATAACATATTACAATCTAACATAGTACCGCCTCATTAATAACTAGCTATGCCTCGCTGCGTTTTCCCGCAGTAAAACGTGTTACGTTAACATTGTGTTAATCCAGGGTGACAACTAACTCCATACCAAATTTTATTAAAATCGCTCCAGCCGTTTAGACGTGACGAAGCAACAAACATACACACTCACAAACTTTTTTTTTTCTAAATGGCTTGGCACGGCTTGTGCATTTAGCCAATGTCAAGTGTTAAAATGTTTACAAATTCTATAGCACTCGTGGTCAAAGTAATAAATCAAGTCAAAGTAAGTGGCAGTCAAGTCAGTCAAGTGGGGATTTACTGGAATGTCCCCGTGGACTTCTTGAGGGATCGTCGAAAGACACTTTCCGCTATTTTGTTTCACTTGCCAACACTTGTGCATGTTCCCGAACACTTAGTGGTTAATAATCCACTATTATTAGGCACTAACATCCGCCACAACACAATTTCTAACAAGAAAAACAAAACTGCCAATGTGACGCTTTCCGATCACTGCCGGATTTAGGGGAGGGCAACCGGGGCGAAAGCCCCACAATAAGGACTTCGTAAAAAAAAATCTTTCAAATTCCAACTAGTAAACACTCTTTTCGGTTCCGTTCGTTAACTCTAAGATTTAATTTCAGATAATTCTTGTTTCCGTTTATATTTATACTAGCAAACCAGTGAACCAAATGTTCACCAAAACCTGATTTTAAAAAAAATCTATTTAATTAATTGAGAACTTCGGAGATTTTGTGTGGTTTCGTTTGAAATTCGTGATTTCTCGAAAACCGGAAGTGCTACGTTACTCAAATCCGGTTTGTAGTCTTATCAGACTATTCTTAACTTATAACTTAAACATTCTCTTTATCTATCTCTTACGGTTTGGCCGCTGAAACAGCACCACAGACGGACGGACGGACGGACTTGTCTAACAGATAAGAGATGTGTTTTTTCAATACTAAGGGAATCTACTTGGTTCACAATAAATTATTTATTGAAAAACTCGACTGAAAAAAATTGTTTACTTTATTTGGAAAATAATTTGGGGGGAGGGGGCCTCCGCTCCTCTGTTGCCCCGAGGCCTCTGAGCCTCTAAATCCGGCCCTGTTTCCGATTCCGCTAAAAAGTCCATTCACGAACTTTCGCCTTTATAATAATATAAGTGTGATTGACGAATCGTTCAAGATTGCAACACTTACATGCATACACATAAAATGTAGGTAGTTATATAAAACAAATAACAATAAATCGACATTCATTGAATTACATTAAATTCAATGAAACAAAAATCACATTGAAAACTATTTTAATAAAATTACTTACTATTGATTTAAATAATATCTTATATATAAAATTCTCGTGTCACAATGTTAGTTACCATACTCCTCCGAAACGGCCTGACCGATTTTTAAGAAATTTTATATGCATATTCCGTGGGTCTGAGAATCGGCTACTGTCTTGATAATGGTTTTCTACCTGTAACGTAGTGTTCTAAAACCTACAATGCGCCTTCGCGCCAATATTCAAACTATTGGGTATTGTAACGTAGTGTTCTCATATGGGTTAGGAGGAATGTTATTTTGGACAATATTTATTTTCTTATAATGTGGTATTAAAAAATACATACAACCCTAAATTTTCTCTTCTACCACCTGTCCCTATTTTTATGGCGGTACGAAGTTCGCTGGGTAATTTAGTAATTATTAAACATCACGTGAACGTCAAAATGAATGAAAACATTAAAATTATTGAAGAAGATATTGGAAATATTGAAGAATTAACTTACGTGGTTGCAACAATAGCACTCCAAGGTTGTCTGACGAGAGAGCAGGGGGAAGTGGGCATAGCCAGAACTTCAGTCGACAGCGGGACCAAAGTGCCGTCCTCGCAGAGCAACGAGTAATTGCCGATCAGGTCGGGTCTGGCGGACTGTAAGAAAATTATCACTTAAAAAAGCAAAAAGGAGTTTTTGGCGGGATTTCATCGAGTGTGGTTGGCGTCTTATTTTAATTCAGGGCTTGTTTACCGGTTAATTTTCAAACCTACATCAGTGTCAAGTACATTTGGAGCGTTTTATTTTGGTTTGGCTCTATCTTAACCTTAAAAAACCGGTTTTCCTAAAGAGCGAAATCAAATAGGTTTCGAATCAATTTAGCGGTTTTTAAAAGGTTTCATTTCGCTCTTTCTGACGGCATCGATAATAAATGAACAACTTGACTCACTAGATGCCAGCAATCGTGTCAATAAATGCATCAATCTCTGAGCATTAACAAATTGTGACTAGATTAGTCCAAACAAAACAAACTTTAAGCGATCATAGTGGATATTGTGAAATAAAATTGGTGTGATTTTGTGTTACAACCATCTGCGCAACTGAAGAATTAGTGGAATCTTTAAAATATTCGCTATTTAGGTCAAGTGGACGTGAGTTTTTTATTGTAGTATTGACTACCTCCCAGAAGCTTATCTAAAAAGCCAACTCGATATATTTCATGCCAAACACTCGAAGAAACATTAGAATGCGTCACACCGACATTCTAATGTAAAAAAGTAGATTCATATAACTAAAGACTAGGCTGTATGGGCATTGTTCCCTTTTCCTTCTCTAAAAAGAGAGAAACTTAAAAAAAAGCAAAATATCAAAGAAGTCCATTACATTAAATTTTGTTGTGACGACCTCCGTGGCTGAGAGGTGTGTACGGGTTTCAAGGTTTGGGCAGATGTTTGTGTAATAAATACGAGCATTTGTTCTCCAGTCATGGATGTTTAATATGTATTTTTATATAAATATACTTATACATGTACCAGTATATGTATTCTATCCGTTACCCAAGTATCCCATAACACAAGCCTACAGTGCTTACTTTGGGGCTAGGCTAATTGGTGTGAGTGTTAAAACTATTTATTTATTTTTACTCTATAGAAAATTTCACTAGAAAAAGTATTACTATGTTCAAGTGAAAGGCCACATTTGAAACTGCGCCTTCCGTTTTATCACTGATTTAGAACAAAACTTAAACAGATATTGGTGTCGATTCCGGTATGATTATCTTAACCTAAATTTTAATTTGACAACAGTTTATCCTTGTTATTCTCTATACAGAACGAAAAGAAAAGACTTAGTTTTAAGTTTAGAAAAGCATGCCAGAACTGACACCATTGTGGGAACTACTATTGCAGAGCCTATTAATCTTTCTTCTAATATGTATATATATACATATATATATATATATATTTACTAAGTTTATCACTAAGTTTTTATTTGAGATAGTTATAACGAAGTACAAGTATTAAGAGAAACATGATTCCAAGCGACGTAAGCAACAGTCGCGTTGCCAACAAGACACTACAGTACTTGTATGCGAGTGTCTCTGTTGGAATCTATCACTAAGTTTTTTTGGAGATACTTACTAAGAACTACTGAGTAACATGAGTCCAAGCGGCGTTATCCACATTCCCGTTGCCAACAAGACACTGCAGTACTTGTATGTGAGTGTCTCTGTTGGAAACTATCAGTAAGGTTTTTGGAGATACTTACTAAGAAGTACTGAGTAACATGAGTCCAAGAGACGAAAGCCACGGTCCCATTGCCAACTAGACACTGCAGTACTTGTATGCGAGTGTCTCTGTTGGAAGCTATCACTAAGTTTTTTGGAGATACTTACTAAGAAGTACTAAGTAACATGAGTCCAAGAGACGAAAGCCACGGTCCCATTGCCAACTAGACACTGCAGTACTTGTATGCGAGTGTCTCTGTTGGAATCTATCACTAAGTTTTTTTGGAGATACTTACTAAGAACTACTGAGTAACATGAGTCCAAGCGGCGTTATCCACATTCCCGTTGCCAACAAGACACTGCAGTACTTGTATGTGAGTGTCTCTGTTGGAAACTATCACTAAGGTTTTTGGAGATACTTACTAAGAAGTACTGAGTAACATGAGTCCAAGAGACGAAAGCCACGGTCCCATAGCCAACTAGACACTGCAGTACTTGTATGCGAGTGTCTCTGTTGGAAGCTATCACTAAGTTTTTTGGAGATACTTACTAAGAAGTACTGAGTAACATAAGTCCAAGCGACGAAAGCCACAGTCCCGTTGCCAACAAGACACTGCAGTACTTGTATGTGAGTGTCTCTGTTGGAAACTATCACTAAGTTTATTTGAGATACTTATTATGAAATACTGAGATAAATGAGTTCATACGACTTAAGCCACAGTCGCGTTGCCAACGAGACACTGCAGTGTTTGTGCCTGTTAGAAACTATCACTAAGTTTATTTGAGATACTTACCGAAAAGTACTGAGAAACATGAGTCCAAGCGACGTAAGCCACAGTCCCGTTGGTAACGAGACATTGCAAGGCTTGTATATGAGCGTCTCGGTTGGAAACTCCCGCCACGTTGACAGCGGATGGGTCGTTGTAACCGGCGCAAGTGCCGCTAGCCGAGCACATCGCGCAAAGATTCGGAAACCGGCTCTCTGTTAAGGAGATAAAAAATAAATGAGTACCTACTATTCTATCTAGGAATCTATACATATAATGAAATGGTAGGAAAGTCAAAACTGTACATTGAATATTTTTTTTAAAAGAATGCTTGGGGTGTGATCTACAATCGATACCGAAGCCAAAAATATAGTTTTTTGAATTATTGTCTATTTGTCTGTATGTATGTCCGTAGAAGTCGTAGAAGGTGGCGTTGGCGCTCCAAGGTCCAGGTCGGCAGGCTTCGGAGAAGAAGCTGCTGAGGGTCTCCACTTCCAACTCCTCGGCGGTGAGACCTTCAGTCTGGTCTCCAAGATGATGACGATATACTTACTGAGATTAGCATCGATGGTGGCGTTAGCGCTCCAAGGTCCAGGTCTGCAGGCTTCGGAGAAGAAGCTGCTGAGGGTCTCCACTTCCAACTCTTCAGCGGTGCGGCCTTGAGTCACGCCGGTGCAGCGGTCCGTACGGGCCGACTGGAAGTATAGAACTAACATTAGTATTTATACTGTACTATTGGCCGACCCCGCGACTTAAAATGGTCCTTTTTTTTTGGTTATGTGGGACTCCTACGCTCCTCCTCTCGCCCACCCGCTCAGCCAGCCCGAGGGTTGGCTCAGCGGCTGCCCGAGAGGAGGGGAGGAGAGAGGGGGGCCCTACCCACTAAAAACCTGACGATGCCCCTCATCTCACTGACGGGCCATATCTTCCCCGGGCGAGTGATCCACCATCTGGCGGCACTACGCCCAGCGAGGATACGGCACTGGGTGAGGCCACGGGAACCCTTTCGGAAACTTCCACGACGACTTAAAATGGTCCTAGCTTCATCTGCAGTATTTATGGAGAAGTAATTAGTGTTACTAAATTGAATTGTGTAAAACTGTATGTTACCCAAATGAAAATAAATTTATACTTTTACACCCTCGATTTATGACCTTACCCCCACCTAAATATTTATCTTATTCTGATCTTAGTATTTGTTGTTAGAGCGGCAATAGAACTACATTATCTGAGAAATTTTCAACCGTCTAGCTATCACAGTTCATGAGATACAGTCTGGTGACAGACAGGACAGACGAACAGGACGCGTCTTAGTATTGAGAAAGGCCAAAGGGGAAGATCTTCCTCCGAGCTGGGTCATGGTAGCTCGGGGGCCGCGGCCCGACTGATGTTGGTTGGGCATTGTATATATGAGTGTTTGCCTCCGAATTTCACGTGCGCGATGTAGGCTTCCATACTATTGTGATCACAGCGCAGGTAGCGCCATCTCTTGAGAAGGCGAGTGATTATTTCCTCCTTGATAGTTATATGGGGAGCATATAGATGTCGCTGCCACATTAGTAATAGGAACCCGTTCTTACCCTGTGAGTACGGAATCCTAAAAAGGAGGTTTGTCTCACCATTGTTTCCAGAGTCCTGAGCACTCGGGGCGACCAGCGCATGTCTGTTGCGCCAAGTCCTGGATGGCAGTACCGCCCTCCTCGGAGACCCTCGAATCCATTCGTGTGGTTGTTAGGCACCACAGCTACCGCTTCGAACGCGAATGGCACTGAACCGAAGGCAAAAATTATTATATTAGTTTTATACAAAGCATTTAACAAAATAGTACCTTCAAAATGAAAATTCTTTCTCCAATCTTCAAAGTCAAATGTCTGTTTCGTTTCTGCGCGGGACAACCCTAATAGTAGGGGAGCCCAAAAAATTGACGGGTCACTAATCAGGGGGAGAAGGAAGGGGGTGTGTGCAAATCGTACCCAAGTAGTCTAGAGTGAGAGATTTTATTCCCCCTCAGGTTCGAGTGGTCTAGAGGATCCAGACGGAGAGGAAACTCCCCCCGTGGGGAGATGCCATTCTCGCCAATTCTCGGCTCTAAGTCCCCTTAGGATCTCGCCGTCCCCAAATCCAGTGACGCTGTAAAGGTCATCTGCGACCAACAGTACCCCTGGCACGAACCAAAATCGAATTCGTAACGTTTGCGAGTCCGAAATGTCATTGTCAAATCTGTACTGATTTTTAGTTCTCGTTACGTACTTTGTGCCTCTGCTGTTCAAGTTTTCATACAAAAATTGACATTGACATTTCGGTTTGCAAACTATTCGACTTCGATAATGGTTCGTGCTAGGGGTACTGCATACACACTCAAAAAAAACCAGTGGATTTTGGGATTTACTCGAGCACGTCGCAATAACATATTCATTCCAAAGCTACCGGAAGGTTCACGTAACGTTTTTGATAACGGAAAAATATGAAATGAAAGGATCTTATAATTACCGCCTCCGCTGTGTCTGTGACCATTTAATATTTAGTATGATTGAATATTAAAAATACTATTTATTTTTGCAACAAACAGAAATGAACCTTGTTATTATGAGCATTTAAGAGGGGCATTTTAGCGGTTTCCGCGCGAATCGGAGCGCTCGTCTAGTAGAAGAAGTACACTCCACCTTACAGATGACCACAGTAAAACAACACTTATTTTTGGTGGTGTTGTGTTTCTGTCGTAAAAAAAGCACTTATTAAAAAAGCTTATTACAAAGTGTCCGATTATATTACAGACAAACATGCTTGGGTTTGAACTGTTCCAATCACTCCAACAGGTTTTCATTATAAGATTAATCATGATTGTATTGACGTTGTAACAACATAATGCAAATCATTATGCAAATGTCCAATGTTGTTACATTATAATTTTAATGTTGTGGAGTTTTTTTCGCTCGTTTTTCTCCGCAGCTAAAAAATATGTCCAATAACGAGTGGTAGGGAAAAAAAGATGTTTGGACGATTCAAAAGTGTTGTACTATACATCTAATTTGAATAAACATTATATTGATTTCTGATTTCTGTCGGTCAGTAAGGTACCAGGGCTTCACGGGGTACGGGATTGGATCAGGGAAGGCAACGGCGCGAATGACAGCTTTGGTATTGCAAGCGTCTATAAGCCCTAAGTAAGTAAGTTTGATATCAGCTTTCAATTTGACTACACTGTATGAAATAATACAGGAGGAAAAAGCAACCCTTGCTGAGTTTCTTGCCGGTTCTTCTCAGTACAAAGTTTCCCGCTGTAAATTTGCGAAACAATGGCGTAGCTTTCGACTTCCACATGTCCTTGTAAAAGCCTAAACTGAATAAACATTTCGAATTTTGATATGGTGGCCGCTTGCCATCAAACGGGCATTATGCTGGTGTGCCACCCTTTTAAGACAAAAAAACGGTAAAACTGTACTTCCAGGGCCCAAGAGGTGATACTTATTTTTTTTGTAGAAAAGGTATCTTTTAACAGAGTTTTTTTTAAGTCTCTTTTACTAGATTTTTTTCTGGCGCTTCGCCAGCCGTTGCCGCGGCATGCTCTTTCTGCTCGCTCGGCTCGCGCGTTATGGTCAGAACACTAACCTTTTTTTTTAACAGGAAAATGCGGCTAAGCACCGACCCAACCCACTGGGCTAGTTAGTGAGCAGAATGTGGGACTCACCCTGCTAAAGAGATAGCCGGGAATACTCCACTAAACTCCCCGGGAACTTCGCCTCGCCATAATTGAGCGGGCCACGAGCATGCGCAGGGCGCTGGCTCAGTCACAACACTAACCTAACCTAACCTAGTGCGAAGTATCACCGCTTGGGCCCTAGAAGTACAGTTTAGCCGAAAAAACAATATTATTATGAGCAGTTTATCTCACCCATCCTGTTGACGTTTCTCACAGTACCCAGGACGCGGTATTCATCCGTGTTTCTTTGAGCGAGCAGCATCAACTCTTCTTCCGTGAAAGCGCCGACATGAGCGGCTCCCCTGCTCATCTGTAGCGCGCACTCCACACTGCCGAGAAAATTGAAGAAATATAAACATAAATAAATATTTCTAACACTCACACCCATGGAGGTTAGAGAGAAGGAGAACGATCGCTGTAGAAAATAGTGTCCCAGAAATATGGACAAAATAAGTGAGGCGTTGCGATCGTTAAGTTGTCTCAATAAAAGCGGGTTGTTGTGCGTTAATTTGAAATGATCAATGCCGCGAAGAAAATTTGTACAGTATTCAACTAACTTCATCTACTTGTACTCATAAACAGCTAACTTCACAGATACTACTTTTACCCACGGCAGCGCGGCTGGTGGCTGAAATATGAACTATAAATTTCACAATTTTTCAGGGACAGGCGGGATAATGCTTTAGTACGTAGCGATCGTTCTGCTTCTCTCTAACCTCCATGATCACATCAGTTTTTTGAGAGTTTTCTGAAATGACAGGCGTCAGATGGCAGCAGTGAGACGAAAGGTCTTATCATCCGTCAAACCACATATGTCGTCATAGTCTATGGAACTATTTAAATGCTAATTCGATTAATTCGCGCTAAACTTCACACAAAAGACCTCTTGTTATAGTGGCGCCAACTGGCGACGCAAATTTTCCGAAATCCCTTCTAAATATTTGCTGAGTTCGAATATTTTTTCCTATTTGACGACCTCGTGGTTGCCGAGTGGTTTGTACGCCGGATTTCAAGGTGTCGCCTACTCGAGAAGGCCCTGGTTCGAAACCCGGTGGGGGCAGATGTTTGTGTGATGTTATACGACCATTTGTACTCCAGTCATTGATGTTTAATATGTATTTCTATATAAATATACTTATATATCAGTATATGTATTCTATCCGTTACCCTAGTATCCCATAACACAAGCCTGCAGCGCTTACTTTGGAGCTAGGCTAATTGGAGTGTGTTGGAAATATTTGTTTTCCACCCCTTCGTACGGCCACCCCCCCACCATGCAAACCAGCACATTTTTATTTTTGCTGTCGTCAGAAACGTTACGAGATTCCAGTAGGACCTAATCGAAAGACTGACGATTTGGGCGCGACCAAAAGTCGCAAGAAGTAGAAAAGTAAAAACTTAGATGGAAACATGGAAAACAAATATTAGGTACCTTGTTTGTACATTCAAACATGCCACTTGGCTGCCATCTTTGTCCAGGTTTTGACATCTTATGTTATTTTCGACGACACACACTCTAACTGAAACAAAAATACACAAAAACATATTAATTTTGGAAGATAGAGCATAGATGCACCTGTATTATCATAATCATGTTATGTCTAGTGATGCTCTACAGCGATAGCCTACTACTGGGGCATAGACCTTCCTTAACGTCGGAGCAGGGAGAAAGGACTAGACAGACAAGAGAGAGCCCACATGACAAAGATAAAAAATATTAAAAAAAAATTACGGGTCACTAACCAGGGGAGTAGCTCGAGGTGAGAGATTTACACGGTATACCAGGTAAAAGAACATACCTGGGCGTTTTTCCCCGCCCCCCACGACAACGGCTAACTAGAACCGAGGTCCGAAAATCAGAGACGACCTTTAGATGAGCGGACCCCCTCAGGTTCGAGTGGTCTAGAGGCTCCAGACGAAGAGGAGACTCCCCCCGTGGGGAGATGCCATCCGCCTGGAATACCTCTAGAGGCACTCGCCAATTCTCGGCTTGAGGTCCCCTTAGGATCTCGCCGTCCCCAAACCCGGTGAAGCTGTAAAGTTCATCTGCGACCAACAGCATACACACTCAAAAAAAGGTGAGCGATTTTAAAATAGGGGGGCCCAGCTTCTTCTTTCATAAAATATCTTTCGAAGCTCGCAAGAGCAGACCACCGCACAAACCATTTCCGGCCTTCTTTCTTGCCAGTAAAGTATACTGATGTAATTAAATAAAACTATGTTAAAATTCTGTTTGATTCCAAAAATGATCAATGGTCGCTTCCTGCTTTCACAGTCATACTTAAAGATGTAGAATGTGCACCGAATTAAATTTTGCTAGCTCCAAAAATACTCGCTGATGAAATAATATTTTAATCGCAACACAAAATCGGTAACCGTAAGAAGCCTTTTGACGCACGCCCTCAACAGGAAACAGAAAGGGGTCTCTGAAGACCTCATCTTCGGTACAGTGGACGCTCCAAATTGAACCTCAAGTTCCTGTATTATTTTATAAATATACTTTATAAATAAGGAAATCTTGTAATATTAAGTGAGAAGGTACTAGTTAGTAAATACTTTGAAATGATGATATCAGCTATTGGAAGCACAGAAAAGTAAGAGGAAATTTTCCTGAACAAAAGTTTCATTTCATGATCTTCTATTTAGGAAATAATTAACTTTATGATTAACACTTTAGATGGTCATCACAAAACACAGGAGTTTGATTCACAGTTGTAGCAGGCGATTATAAAAAAACTGTGAATGCAGTTCTACTTATTATTAAAAACAAAATGATGTCTTCTTTCAGTAAAATATTCTACCTTCAATATTAAATATACTTTCCCTCCGTGTGACAAACCTGTGGGACGCCCTGTATAAGTGATTTTTATGTCAATCGTTTAGATATTAGTTTTATAAAGCAGATTCACTCATTAGTTTCATAGGATAGTTCATAATTTTGATAGGTTTTAATGTTAGGAATCAGCCTTCAGCGCCGGCGACGCGCGAGAAGAAGATAACGTTCGTAAGGCAAATTGTAGACTGCCAGTAACAATCATCGTGTGAACAGCTAGTCAGAAGAATAAGGGAAGTAGTAAAGCAACAATCAGCGTTTTAAATCCGGAAACCTACATACAGTCCACACCAGGGATCCGAGGACCGAAGACTTTCATCACTTTACTTTACTTTACTTTCATCAGTTTCATCACTCATCAGTTCCATCACTCATCAGTTCCATCAGTTTCATCACTTTCATCACCCACATCTTGGTCCTTCGAGTCGATTCCATTTTCGAAAACCAACATTAACCAAAGTTTTAAATATTTTGTCTAGCATCATTAATTCAAAACGATACAAGTGACAGCCCTATCAGAACGGACGATTTGCTATAGATTAAATATGTTTGAGTTGTTAACAGACACATAAACCTACTTTTTCATATTACTTACTTACCAGAATTTATTTTGCATCCGATAAGATAGAGAATACGTTGATTATATTGTTGAAGTTATGGAATCAACAACTTTATTTTTAACACTCAAAAGGGTAAAGTTAGCGAATCAGAATCATTCATTTTATTTGTCACTTAGCGTTGACAATGCAGAGTGCAGTAAAAACGGCAAATCCCTTTTAATAAGTAAACGTATTAAATATAAAATTTATATATTGTATACAGGGTGAAATTGAATGTTTCTATGAAACTTCGTGAGATTGTTGGGTTACGTAACGTTTGTCTAACACCATAAGAGTTTTAGAAAATATTGATTAGTTAAAGTCTGGCTTAGAAAGAGTAAAAGAAAGTCTCTTTACTACCACACATAACATTAGATTAACTCATATATGTATAATTTATTTCAGCCTATCCAGTTCCCATATTATATCCTACTAATGGTGTCGATTCTGGTGTGATTCTCCAACTTAAAACTAAATTAAACACCAGTCTCTCCTTTTCATTCTATATAGAGATGACAAGGAGATACTGCTGTCAAAATTAAGTTTAGGTTTAGATCATGCTAGAGTCGAACCTATCTGTAGATCCCATAGTTTTCTGTACACATGCTGGGGATAGTCTTTAAATGTATCAGTTTGATGTGGTGACCGATTAGATACCAGCATGTGTAACCACCTCATATGTGTAATGTATAAATCAAGAGAACATTTTATCAGAAAAAAAAACCAGTCGGACCAGGTTTCAGACCGGATTCCTTTCAATTTTAACATCTAGCAGTTAAATGCTTTAAATAAAAATGTCGCTTAAAACGGCCTCTACATGTTGGATTAATATCTTCACGCAAGCCTTTTCAAGCCGTGAACCTGTTTCAACCCATGACCTTAAAGCATCAACCAAATAAATTGCATTTTCTACAGTATCGTAAAAGATTCTTAAAATTCATAATTAATACACAAATATGCCACAGCCAGGAATCAGAATCATCGGCCCGTTACTTACAAACAGAAATATATATTTCATATATATGGATGACATTACATTGCTAGAAAAAGAAATCCACCCGGACCATTCAGCAGAGGGGACTCGAACCGGCACCCATCGTTATCTGGGTGAATGCACTGACAATTATGCTGCCCGCGGCCCTGATGGCCATGTAAAATTTTCTCTACCAGTTCTTAGGCTGCAAGGTAGCTCCATCTCTTCGCATTGTACTTAACCCACTGTGTCAAATGAATATCTTTACAAGTATTAAACATTTGAAAGAAGAAATAGATGATCTTAATAAAAAAGCATCTTTTTTAACTTCCATCCATCAATTTGATGATAAGATTGTGAATCGACATAGTGACTCAATCGAATAATCAATTCAACGATTACTCACAGACGCCACCCTAATCGATTCAACTTACGGAGGTGTCCTAGTCACAGATACTTTACTATTATATTTATGTATATCTACACCAATAACATAATCATTGTTCTTTTCATTAAAGATGTTATTGATGTTAACAATTGTTTTATTAGAAGTACGCCTTCTTTATACTTTATTCATCGTGATTTATTAATGATAGTCAATAATAATTAATTCTAATACATATATGCCATTTGTATAATTGGAGAGCAAATATTTTGTAACACTTACTTTTAAGATTCTAAACATTCACGAATCGATACTATGCTCAACTCTAAAAGAAATCGATGAAACTACAATTGGTAGGCGCCCTTGTCGTTATGAATCACACTGCCACACCTAATCCGAATATCAAATTATATAATTACCCTAAAACTTACATAATTGAGCATTCGCACAGCCGATCACAAGCAACGCCAAGATTAAATCCCTGGAACCCATTTTCGCACTTCACTTTCAAACTAACATGGAGAAAAAGCACTAAAACACCCGTAAAACTCCAACGGCCCAGACTGAAGCGTTCGATAGCATGTGAAACTTATTTAAAAACTGTAATACGGCGGTATTATCGGTTATCTTATCTCCGTTTCGAAATTCAGCATAAAGGTAGGTGATGTAACCGTCTCTGATAAGCGATTAAACGTTATGTCCGGTGTACCACAGGGATCGGTACTGGGGCTACACTTATTCACATTTATGTGATTAATCGATTCGAAATTTATAATTTGTCATGTGATGTGCGAGGTTTTATGTTAGTCTGGCATTGTATATTAGATTTTTAAAATCATATGATATGATACTTGCCACTAGATATGAGGATTTTAGTAATTTGTGATAGTATTAATCTATTCGTTTATATCTTTACCTTTTATGACCTTTTTTAAAATGAAACTGTTACTATAAAATACAACTTAAAGCTATCAAAGGCGGCTGGGAACATGTTACTGTTATTTTCATTAAGGTTTCAGAAATTCCATACATTAAATCTAATATTAGGAACAAATTAGTAATAAAAAACCAAAAGGGGTGATTTGAGTGTTTCCAGTTTAGTACATATGCATAAAATCGAAGAACTCGATGGCGCTGGCGGTGAGCGCATTCGGCTGAGATCGTTGAAGTTAAGCTACTTTCGCAGTGGTCGGTCATTGGATGAGTGGCCAAAAATCTTCTATCTCGAGTTCCTCCGTGCTTCGGAAGGCACGTTAAGTCGTTGGTCCCGGCTACATCTGCAGTCGTTATCACCCGTCAATCCGCACTGGGCCCGGGTGGTGGATCATTGCCCGATCTCCCTATTCATTAATAGGCTGATGATGATGATGAGATATGTCTAATAAAGTACGAATAAAAGTTAAGAACCAATTGTTTATAAAATAAAATCAAAAAGTTAAATCTAGTTCGAAGCATTATTATCTTTCTGTACTGTTTGAAGATAATTAAGATAGAAATTTAATATACTTAAACTATCATTGAAGACCATTTGGCAAGTGGTTCGTAAAAAAATCCAAAAAAAGCAAGAACTAAGTACACCTGCTTGCTTAACATTTTTCTTTTCAAGTTCATGATAACGGCTATCTATCTTGTTATTCAGTGATTTTATCTCGTGTTGTTTCACCAGATAATCTTTAAATATAATAAAATGGTAGGAGAGTCAAAACTGTACATTGAATATTTTTTCAAAAGAATACTTGGTGTGTGATCTACAATCGATACCGAAGGAAAAAATATAGTTATTAGAATTTTTGCCTGTTTGTCTGTATGTATGTCCGGGATAAACTCAAAAAGTATTGCATGGGTTCACTTCAAATTTGGCACGAATATTATTAAGAATTCGGGTCAACATATAGGCTACATAATGTCACGAAACTCCACCCCTAAGGGGGTAATACGGGGATTGGAAGTTTGTATGAAAGTCCTATGTTTTTGGAGTAAGAGACTTGAAAAACATGTATGCTCTATAGAGGTGTACTAATAATGTATTTTTAGAAATAAACCCCCTTTTGGGATCAAAAAGTATGTGCAAATAACTAACTCCACGCGTACAAAGTCGCGGGCGGCCGCTAGTACTTAGAATATTACGATAACGAATCTTATAATTTTAACCAGTAGGGTGTAAATAATTTTTTTAGAACGACTTTCGTCTCAGCCTTACAATCACACAGTTTGAAGAAGAGTTAAATAAAAAAATCATGTAAATATAACATTGAAATTTTTACCTTTTAGCAATCTTTTAAACATAATTCTTGATTTAAAAAAGTTTTTTTTAAATAGTTCACGCACGACTTGACAAGTCTACTTGATCGTCTCCGGGACGTTTTAGATTTCCAAATGATCAAGTCAGGCTACAAGATTAGATCGGAATTGTTCATGGACAAAAAAGCGAATCTCACTGGATACCATCAAATAAGGTGCAGAATCTGTAGCGAACACTTTAAAATTACTAACAAATATGATGAGAATAGGAAATAAGGACAAATACTAAAAAAACGAGCGAGCCTTACAGTAGTCGCGTATGATGTGTAACATTTTAAACCTCACCTTATATTAGTAAAAAAAGAAATAAAACATACTACAAAAGGAATAAGCCATTTGAACATTATGTTCTAAAATCAAATTAAATAACGCGCACTTTCGCGACTTCCTGTTACACACTTCCGTCCCATTTCACGAAATCACTCCCACAAATTGCAGAAAAGCGAGAGGAAAGATGTTACACATCAAAAACGATTGTTAAATATTCTGACTGATTTACTTACATTCATAAGATGTATCATTTCTTACCCGTGTTCTTACCTATGTATTATGTACTTAGGTTGGTCGACATCACAGGAGACCGAAGAACTGGCAGCTACCTCGGACAAAGAACTAGTCCAGCTATTCAAAGGGGGAACACTGCCAGTATCTTTGGAACTTTGCCTAAAGGGACTCCTTTTAATAATGTATTTTAGTTATTATATATGGTTGCGCCAGTATGGCATTTTGAATTGACCGCGTAAAATTCGTATAATCGCCCATCGCCTTATTTTAAATTTAATAGTTAAATTGGCACTTTACTCATTTCCTTTTCCCATCTCCCTCCTGCACATACCTATCTCGCATGCCAGAGTGAGACGACGAATGTCCACTGGGGACATCTAGCGGGTGTTGTAGTTAACATACTTCTTAGCAAATCCGCACCTTTTGTTAATGGCTGCCGTAAATCGCGCTCTTCGTAATTAATTCGTTTGATAAACAAAAACTATAGTTCGAGTGATTCTCATTGTAAAAATAGAAGTGCAAGACTACCCATTTGGTGTTACCCATAAGAATATCAACCGGCCACGAACCCAAGTTCGGTTTTGGATAGCCGGCTCGACGCGTCCACCTCGGGAGCTTCTGGACTGGCCGTTGATTCAAGGTATTGTGCAACCTTCCTTATTGGTTTCGAACTATTTCCTTTTGTTTTTAATCCACGCAGTTCGAAATCTCCTTTCTTTGATTATTGTGCCAATTTTAAATTTACAGTCCATTATAAAAAACAAATATTTAGCATCACCCGCGCAACCATTTTGGTCCTCATCGAACCGGGTTAGTTGAACTTATTAGTTTAATAGAATTTATTCCATTGGGAGTAAACGCACCGCATAGTTATAATTATCTAGCACTAGCAAACCCGGCGAACTCCGTTTCGCCACCAGATGGCTTCGTTTTATGTAACATTTCGTTTGGTGATTAAAAGAGTTTTTTTTAATTTTTCCTAAATTTTCTTTGCTATAAACCTCACGGAGCCCAAGACCTTTCCAACGAAAGCAAAACCGTGGAAATCGGTTCGTGCGTTCTGGAGTTATAGCGTCAGGAAGGAAATCCCGACTTATTTTTATATAGTAGATTTTATTTGTTTATTTGTTCATACCGCTCCGCAACCACGCTAGGAATATAACTCGTAATAGAATTGAATAGGTAGGTAAGTACTTAATCGTTGCAGGTGCATAGGCACTGACGGCGTACAATACCTACTTACCGCTTAGTCTGTTATTTTGGTAGTTTGTTTGTTTACGCAGTCACTAACATAAAAGGAATAACTTTAGTACTTATTAAAATAAAAGTCGCAATTTGATTTGAGAAGGTAACTTTGTTCGTCTACCTACATTCATACGCGTCTGATCTCCGGCGCTATCATTTCACTTCAATATTTAGGTATATTTATTTAGTTTGTTGTTGTTTTTGCAATGCCTCCGAAAATGAATTCGGATGCGCAATTAAAATTGTTGCATGCAAAAAGGGACAACCTATTTGCACGTATGCAATTAATTTGTGATAGCTCGTCGAAAATCGAAGATGAAACAATCAGAGAAATGTTTTTGTGTTCCATTGAAACCGTGGATAAATTACGCTTAGATTTCGAAAATGTACTCGATAGAATCAATACCCTAGAATTAGAATTAAATCCCGAGTTTTTGGTTAATTACGACGCCTTGTCGTCATTTGAAGATTTAGTTTGTCGTACAAAACGTGTCGCTAAATCGTTAGAAATTCCCGTCGAATCAAAACCTGCGCTGGATAGTGTATGGAGGCAAGATAGACCAAAATTACCGCCTATACAGATACCAGAATTTGATGGTGATATCAAAAACTGGCCTTTGTTTTATGCTTGTTTTGAGAATACGATTCATAGAAATAACGGATTATCGAATCACGAAAAATTACATTATTTAGTTGGTAAACTCACTGGTAAAGCAAAATCTGTTTGTGCTGGAATTACTTTAAGTGGAGAAAATTACAATTTGATTTTGAACTCTTTAAAAATAAAATACGAAAATAAACGTTTAGTTGCAACTACTTATTTAGACCAAATATTTAATTTGAAAAATATTTTAATCAATAATGAGCACGATTTAGAAAAGTTTTTAGACACATTTGTAACAGCAGTTCGCGCCTTAAAGAACCTTAAGTTCGATGACCTCAGCGATTTTTTGTTTTTATATATTGCATTAAGAAAGTTAGATTCCGAAACAGTTCGCTTATTCGAAATGGAGCAACGTAGCAACACTAACATTAAATTCGATGATTTAGACAATTTTATTCGAAACTATATTCAAATTTTGCAACGAACGTCGTCAAAGTCGGAAACGAAAAGGTCAAATATTAGTAAAACTAGTAGTAGTAGTCAGCTGTCCAAGTTAACGCATACTTATGTCAATACGGTTTCGAAAACTTCTCATTTGGAAAAATGCACCTTATGTACAGGCCAACACGATCAATTTTATAAGTGTCCCGGGTTCCTAAAACTCAATCCTATTGAGCGCTATAGATTTGTTCGCAGTAATAATTTGTGTATTAACTGTCTAAGTGATAGACATCGTGTTTCGGTTTGTAGTTCGAATAGTACTTGTCGCAAATGTTATGCCAAACACCATACTTTATTGCACTTCGAAAATAACGTCGCCGCTCATGCGGCCACAGCTGTTGACAGTGCGCCCGCTAACGCTGCATCTAGTAGTCGAGCGCCGTCTGCGACCGTTCGGTCGCCGCCGCCACCACTCGTGCCGCCGTCGTCTTGTGAGCGTAGCCCTCGCAGTCGCACCTATCCTTCTGCTACAATGCGTGCGGGCAGCGATGCCGCTTGCTCGCGTAGTGAGTCGAATGATGTGGCTTTGTGTTCTTCATCGGACTTGCGCACTCCAACTACTGTACTTCTCTCAACCGCTCGGGTTATTGTAATTGATTCTTATGGTAATGAATAATAATAATAATAATAATTTAATTTATTTGCCAAAATACAGTTCACAAGTTGATACATATTAAGTAAGTACGTGTATTCTACCTGCAGGCAGGTGTGCAAATATTGCAGTCAGTTATTTTTTTCATCTGTCATATATTCCTTAATACTATAATAACATTTTTTTTGTAACCATTTTGTCAACTTACTTCTAAACAGTGTCCCAGTTTCTAATTTTATATTGTCAGGTAATTTATTATATATACATATTAACATGTTATAAGCATTAACTTTATAAATATATGCGTGGCAAGGAGGCTGATATAATAAGTATCTATATTGACATCTCGTGTGTCTATTGCTCATTTCTACGCGCTTCTCGAAATACTTGCTGTGATCCCTGACAAATAAACATGCTTCCTTTATGTACATGCAGGGCAATGGAAGTATTTCAAATTTTTTAAATAAGGGTTTGCAGCTTTCGAGAAACCAAGCACCATCTAACATTCTAATGCATTTTTTTTGCATCCTAAAAACCCTATCGATATCTACTGAGTTACCCCATAAGAGCAGTCCATAACTTAAGGCGGATGAAACATATCCGTGGTAAGCCATTTGCGCAGCCTCTGTCGATACTGTTTGTCTCAACCTTTTTAAGGCAAAAACGAATTTTTCTATTTTCGAACAGACAGAATCGATATGACATTTCCAGTTTAAATTCTTATCAACAATTGTACCAAGAAATTTAAAAGATTCAACTCTTTCAATAAGAACCTTATTATGACATGGTTTAACAGACAGAGGTTTACTTTGGTAAGAATAAAATTGCATGATCTTGGTTTTTTCCATGTTGATATTAAGTCGGTTTGCGACTAGCCAGGTATTAGCTTCAGACAATGCTTTATTAATTTGAGTCTCAGCTATCTCTTTATTGTCACATTTTACAGCTAAAGTGATATCGTCAGCAAAAAGTACGCAGTCATTGCTTATCATTTTAGGAAAATCGTTAATAAATAATATAAAAAATGATGGACCAATAATGCTGCCCTGCGGCACACCCCTTTCATTTAACAATATTTCCGATCTGAAATTCTTCTTATAAATTTTGTTATTTGATTCCTTAACGACTTTCTGTATTTCAGTGCATTGTATTCTACCCTTTAAATAACTATGAATCCAGTCATATGCTTTACCTCTAATGCCATATAATTCAATCTTTTTTAGTAGTATTGAGTGGTCAACAAAATCGAATGCTCGGGACATGTCAAGAAATACTGTCATTACTGGTATATTACGATTTAGATTTTCAGTAATACACTTAATTAATTTAAAACCGGCAAGTGTAGTTGATCTCCCTTTACGAAACCCACATTGCTCCTCTGTTAAAATATTATGCTTATCCAAAAAATTATTCATTCTACAAAGAAAGGCTTTTTCAAATATTTTTGAGATAATAGGTATTTTAGTTATAGGTCTGTAGTTATTAAGATCGGACTTGTCACCTTTTTTAAAAATAGGTCGAATTACGGACAGCTTTAGTTCGTCAGGAAAAATTCCATCAACAAAACTCAGGTTTATAATATGTGACAGGGGCAAAGAAATATATTTCGCACATGCTTTTATGACCTTCGTATGAATGTCATCGTAGCCAGTCGCATTACTGTTGTTTAGGTTCATAATAATTCTATAGATTTCCTTTTCATTGGTTGGATTAAGGTAAATAGTATATGGATTACTTGAAAATTTATTAAAATTTAAATTAATGTCATACGTATTAGATGTCCGAATGTTCGTAGTATTAATAAAATTATTATTACATAAATTGGAAATGTCAGTGGGGTCAGTATATGTCTTATTATTGAAATTTAATTTATCTATGTCATCTTGATATGATTTAGGCATCTGATTCGCCGATATAATGTTCCAAGTAGCTTTACATTTATTTTTATTACGTAAAATATACCTATAATTTGTCAATTTGTGTGCTTTATTAATACATATTTTAAAACATTTATTATACCTGTAATATATATCCTTATTTTCTTTTTTATTAATGCTAGTAGTTTTATATTTTAGGTAAAAATTACGTTTAGTTTTACTTGATTTTTTCAACCCTTTAGTTAGCCATTTTGTTTTAAGCGGTCGATTATTCACTTTAACTCTTATTATTGGGAAACATAAATCATAGAGCAACCGAAATAATTCATAGAAAAGATTAAATGCTTCTCTTACATCGTTTGAATCGAAAACTTCTATGAACGATAAAGCCGCTATGTGTTTGCAAAACTTAATTATATTTTCTTGACTATAGTCTCTCTTATGTTCAAACCAAGTTGAAAAAGACTTTTTCGACACAGATATATTAGTTCTTATTTTTATAATTTGTGCGGTCTCGTGATCCGAAAGTCCTAAATAAAGCAATTCTGATACGGACTGGTCTATATTACTGGCAATTTGATCGATGCAAGCATTTAATCTAGTCGGTAACTTAATATGAGATTTCAAATTATAAGATTCTAATAAACTGAAAAGTTCTTTTATATGCGGCGTTTGTTTCAAAGTGTCTAAATTCCAATCCCCGCAAATTATTATTTTTTTCCTTTTATATTTCTCTGTAAGGAAAAAAAGTAGTTTGTCAAGTTTGTGTAGAAAAATACCTATACTGCTTTTACTTTGCTCTGGTATCCTATATATACATATTACAATAATATTATATGCGCATAATTCAACTCCACAGCATTCAAAATATAATACAGTTGTTATATCAGAAGGAATGGTTAAAGGTTTCGTTTCTAATTCGTTTTTTAACAAAATACATACGAACATAGCGTTCGTGCCCTTTTAGATAGTGCATCGCAAAGTAATTTTGTTAGTGTAAATTGTTGTCGTCGTCTTGGTTTAAACATTAATTCTCATAGTAATTGTAATGTAGTGAAGGGTATAGGGGGCTCCACTAAATCCATTCAGGGTTCCGTATATATTAAATTTCATTCGCGTCTTGATCACAGTATTAGTTTTAATATAGATTCGTTGGTAGTAGATAAAGTCACCGAACTTTTACCAACTGTCGCAGTCAATACGTCAATATTGACCAATTTTAGAAACTTACCTTTAGCCGATGATACTTACGCCGTTCCAGGTGAAATTGATTTGTTGATAGGAGCTTCGATTTTCCCGCACCTCCTGTTACAGCGTAAGATCCGGGGTCATCCGTCGCAACTCGCACCGCACGCTTTGGAGACAGTCCTTGGTTTTGTTGTTGTTGGATCCGCAACCGCTAGTTTAGATTGCAAGTCGTCCGTATCATATTGTTGTACGGCCGAACCGCTGGATGCTGTCGTTCGCAGATTCTGGGAGATAGAAGAAGTGAACGTACCTCCCGTCGTCAGCCCGGATGACAAAATTTGTGAGGAGTTTTACAGTGTCACAACTAATCGCGATAGTGATTGTCGCTATATTGTCGCTCTCCCCTTTAAAGGGGATGTTAATTTACTAGGAGATTCTCGTCAGGTAGCTGAAAAAAGGTTTCTTTGTTTGGAGAGAAAAATGCAGACGTCTCTAAAATTAAAACAGGCCTATGATGACATAATTAATGAGTATTTGGATAAAGGCTTTATTTCACCCGCTCCGAACGAAACTATGGAAACAAAACACACTCCTCTATATATTATACCTCACCATAGCATTGTTCGTGAGGATAAATTGACAACCAAATTGCGCGTAGTACTAGATGGTAGTGCTAAAACTAGTACTAACGTTTCATTAAACGATCTTTTGCATTGTGGTCAGAATCTCCAAGGTAATTTGTTTGAAATTTTAGTAAATTTTCGTTTGTTTGCTGTAGCTCTTTCTGCGGATATTAGGCAGATGTTTCTTTGCATTGGTGTTCGCAAATCTGATCGCAGGTTCCAACGTATTTTGTATCGATTTTCGCCACAGGAGCCTTTGCAGGCTTATGAATTTAATCGCGTTTGTTTTGGGCTTAAATCAAGTCCCTTCCACGCTCTTCGCACTATCAAGCAGCTC